TTATACAATCTCTTTCAACTGTATAAACAAAGGAAATATGTGAATTATACCACGTAACCTAACCTATAAACATGTCGATTTCAACCACGAGGCAGCCATTTTGTTTTAACAATACTAACCTAACATTTACACAGTAATTTTAGGCAAACTTGCAGCAATAAATAAATACATCACAAGTACTCTTTTGTGAAACTTGTCATCAAATCGTGTCAATCATCATATTTCAAAGTAAATCACCTAACCTAACCTATGAACATGTCGATTTCAACGACGAAACAGCCATTTTGTTTTAAGAATACTAACCTAACATTTACACAGTAATTTTAGGCAAACTTGCAGCTGTAAATAAATAGACCACAAGTACTCTTTCGTGAAACTTGTCATCAAATCGTGTCAATCATCATATTTCGAAGTAAATCATTGTTGCTATTGGCTGCCAGCCATTTTATATTTAGAACGTCAATGAAATATTGGTCAATTGTTTTCATTAAGCTTTAAAGCTTCATTAAACTTTATATTTAAAGTTTTCAATTGATATGCAATTGTTATTCCATGATACATTTATGTCACCTAATAACGTCAGACTTTTACGTTTCAAGATTTCACTGAATGCAACAACCAATTACATGATAAATTCCACGAAATTTTAAATCGACTTCCGAAGCTTTTTATACTTTCATTCCGCGAATTGTTATTATTTTTCAAACGAAAATAAATTTCATTGTAAACGGTATACTCTTTTCCGCGATAAATTGTCATAAATCGAAGTAACCGGGTCATCATGAACTAAACGAACGATTTTTAACCTGAATAACCTCTATACAATGAAAAAATTCAATTTATATACGTTTCCAGTTTGATAAATGTGAGTTCTGTTGTTTTATTGTTCTTGTTTCTTCTGTGTTTCGCAAGAGAAGACCAATGGAATTAACATGATCGATCATAGGCTTTGACGGTTTACGATCGTGTTTGTTTTCGGATTTTATCGGGAGTGGTCGTGATGATATGATTTATTATACCAAGATTGAAACGTAATTAAAATATCGTTTATCGTTGAAATTTTCAGAGAACCTCAGGAATTTCTTCTTAAAGATATGAGTCGTTTGTGTGACTAAAATATTTGGACAATATTCGGACGTTTATTTTTACTTATTGTTGATTTTGTTTGTGGAAATCGTTTTATTTGTATGAAATAATTGTATTTATCTCAGATGGAGTTCAAATTTTCAACTTCAGAATTTTATTTATTTGATTATTCGGTTATTTGGTAATTTAGAAAATTTCAAACTTAAATATTTAGTTATTTCAAATTTTCAGATTTTGATTTCACTTTTTCAGGTTATTAAAATTGGTAATTTGGTCGTTTGGAGATTTCGAAATTTAGAATTTTAGAAATTAAAATATTTAGAAACGTCTAATCTTCAAATTTTCTTCAAGTTCTCAAGTTCTCAAATTTTCAAATTCTCAAATTCTCAAATTCTCAAATCTTCAAATTCTCAAATCTCCAAATTCTCAAATCTCCAAATTCTCAAATCTCCAAATTCTCAAATCTCCAAATTCTCAAATCTCCAAATTCTCAAATCTCCAAATTCTCAAATCTCCAAATTCTCAAATCTCCAAATTCTCAAATCTCCAAATTCTCAAATCTCCAAATTCTCAAATCTTCAAATTCTCAAATCTCCCAATTCTCAAATCTTCAAATTCTCAAATCTCCAAATTCTCAAATCTACAAATTCTCAAGTTCTCAGATTTTCAAATTCACAAATTCTCTAATTTTTCGTATTAAGGTGAAGTGGGGTGAGTTCGTAAACAGGGCAATTGCGTATACAGGTTATTTTTATTACAATATGAGCGAAATTTCTCCATTTAGTATGTTTGTTTCCTTGTTTTGTTTCGCTATATCCCCTTTTATATTTCAGCTAAGAGTACTTGTTTGCAGTATAGAGTACTTGCATAATGCAGTAAAAAGCATTTTATAGCAGATTTGTTAATAATTCTGCTCTTGCCCCATTGCACATGAAATAAAGTTTCAAAGTATTTTACTTTAAGTTACGCTCTTACCCCATTTTCGGGGAAAGTGCAGAGTAGTTGACATTTTAAACAATTTCCTATCAAAATCAAAATGTACAAGGGAAATTAAGTTCCTAGTTAATATTAATTAAATAGTAGTAATTGTGCAGAGCGTTCGATATCGACAGCGTTAAGTATTTACATAGTAGACTGAAAATACTTACGTTTAAATACCAACTTTACAAAAACCAGTCTGCACTTACCCCACTTCACCTTATTCATATTATGAATCGAATAGAGTGGAGATTTGTAAATTTAAAAGTTTCATATTTTACACATCCAAATTTTTAGACATCCAAAGCAACCTAAAATATTCAGAAACAGAAATGAAAAAATTTAATATTCTCAAGTCTCCAAATTGAAAAATTTGCAAATATCATCACAAATGTCCATTACAGATTTCTAACTGAAAAATAATTCTAAACAGAAAATTATTAAGAATTATATTCGTCTCGCAAAGAGATCGTACTCATGCCGTCTCCTCAGAAAAATTCTAAATCGTACAAAAGGAGTTGGTCGAAAGTTAGCTAATTGTTTTCCGTTCTCACGCGCTTAATTAAAATGAAACTTCCCAACAAACTTGATATCGCATTACTTTCACGCAGCAGACGTGAGAAGTCGATGATTATTGAAATAATAGCGTGATATTTCGAATAACAAACTAAATCTGGAGCAGTCTATTCGGCGTGAATCGTGAATTCAGTCGTGTCCCTACCTGTTCAAATGGATTTAGATAAACGTTTTATCGTTATTGCCGAAGAAGGATGTTATCTGTATTTGCTCCTACTTTGTCAGCAACGGCTATAGCACGTGACATCATATTTGTGCGAAAACTTACGAAATAGTGAGCTGCATGGGAGAACAAACGCTTAATTCATTCTGGTGGTGCATGCATTAATTCAGTCAGCAGAAAGTGATTTTAACCGAACGCACAGAAAGTTTACGGTAGATCAGTGTTTGAGTTACTTTAATTATTATATGGAGCTACTTTTAATTATTATTCGGATTGTCAGTGATATTTTCTTTGTTCTTTTTTGTTGATGTTACAGTGTTTGGTTTAACATTTTGCCCACTGGAAATTATATCTGTGATGAAATTATTTGTTTTATTTTTGTTTAATATTTGCTTAAGGATATTACGTTTCATATTTTATTTTATAATAATTACGTGATACAATTTTATTTTGTGTTTTATAGTATTATTATATCTTATGATATGATTTTATATTTTATTTGGTGATAATATTATTGCGTTTCATGACGAAATTTTATTTTATGTTTTGTAGTAATATTATATCTCTTTGATCTGACGATTCTGTTTTCGATACACTTTCTCAAGATTTATAATATTGAGTCCTTATCTCCTTATATTGCACTTAAGACAAACGCATTATATTGCAATATTAATAGTAAACTTCAAAATAATCTTGTGAATTAAAATTTATATAGTGACGAAAATTAGTGACGTTAGGTCAAAGGGTCAGTTTTAAGTTACTCTTTTTTATTTGAAGTTTTACAACAAGTTAACAAGTTTTAGTTTACGTGTTTACTTTTGCACGGATTTTTGAAAAATGCCTGATGCTGTACATACTCCTGATACATTGATGTCTAGTGAAAACCCAATAGATGGGGAAAATAATAGACAAGGAGACATGCAGAATGCAAAATGATTTTTCTGAAACCGTGGTTGCATTAAGCTGTTGCTCGAAGTCCAGTGTTTCTCAAATTTTACATCTTAAAAAAACAGACTAGCTACTTTATTACAACTCAAACAATTTTGTACAAAGTAGTAATTAATAAGCTACAGATAAATTGTAACTTTAATTGAAAGAATATTATACCATTTGAAATAATTTTTTATTTATACTGTTTGTATTTGAACTCTTAAGGTAAAGCTTATCATAAAAAAATAACGTAAATATCATAAAAAGAATAATTTATTTATTTATTTATTTATTATTCATTGTTATTTATATTATTTGTAACTATTTATATTATATTATTATTTTTAAAAGATTATTCAATATCGTATTAATATTTGATATGAATTGAAAAACATAAAAGTTATTATTTACACCGATTGCTAGTAATTTACATGATTGAAGTTTCAACAGTAATAGTCATTAAGAGTCAATTTTTGTATATTTTTATTCTTGCCTAGATAATTAGTTACTCGTTTATACATTTAAGTAACTTTTACATTCTTCTAAAAACATCGCAAATTTCACTTTTTCAAAGAAAAAACTTTTAATATTAACTTTGATGCAACCGTCAGTTCCCAGCTGTTTTCCAACAATGATATTAAATTTTTTACACTCAGAAACTGCCATGACACCAAACGCGTATATTGCATATCAAAAATACATGACCGTCGAGACACGCTGCAAATTACTTAAGGGACTATGCAGGAACTGAAGTATTCTTTTCAGAATTATTTCTAGCAAAGAAAGTGAAAATTCATTACTTTTATTTTACACAGCGTTTATCATATCAAATATAAAATAAGTATATTTAAATGGAACACAATTGAACATTAACTTAATTTGGAATTTATAACTGGCATACATTTATAAATGAAAATATTTTTTATATAACACATTCGAAAGTTATACGAATTTTAAATATTATAAGAGTTATACTAGTGTAGGAGATAGAGTTATATGACTCATAAAAGTTATATGCGACATACGAGTCATAAGAGTTACAAGAAGTTATACGAATCGTACAAGTTATAAAAATTATACGACTTATAAAAGTTAGAAGAGTTCATGTTTTAGCACAATCGATAAAGTTTGAGAAATCCTGGCCGTTCGAGCAAAGTATGATCGAACCACGTTGTCGATTTGCATAGAATGTGGCGTTGCAAAATTCGTGATTGTGGTAGTTCCTTCCGTAGTAAGGCAAAAGCAATAACGAAGTGCGTCTCTTCAGGAACCGATCGTTATCGAGAAGGCGAACGAAGAGGAGGCACCGGTTATTTGCCAGACGAACCCGCCAGTCGACCACGAAGAGCACGAGGAAGAGGAAACACCAATGATCGAGACTTTTGAGCCACCACCGCGAAAATCGACTGAACAGTCGATCGATGCACACGATGCACCCGAGACCAACATATCGAATGTCTCTGCTGTTGAAAGACCGACGACCTTGACCCTTGGCAAACAGGAAATCGTCATGATGGACACCATGAATCTACTCAGCCCCGTGTCACCCATCTCGAAACAGGTGAGTTTTAACCCTTTCTTTGGTACAATCGAAATTTAATCGGGAAAGTCTTCAATTATATTTTATTAAATTTTATTAAAATTACGGATAAATTAATTGCGTTAATAAATCATATAATTTCTATTTGGTACGTGATCCTTAATTACGTTTTAATAAATTTAGCAGGAATAAATTAATTTTGTTTTTAACGAGTTATAAAATGTTTGTACGTGGTCTTTAATTGGATTTTAGTGAAGCAGTGACAAATTAATTAATTATATTTCTAATAAATCGTACATTTTTTTATTTTGTACGTGGTCTTTAATTGCATTTTACTAAATCGATTATAAATTAATAAATCACATTTTTTAATAAATTTTGTATTTCTTCGTAATATTTTGTATTTGATGTTACAGTATATGTACTTATTTTGATTTCAATTTATTTTCTCATTTTGTTCATTTATTTCATGAATCCAACTCTTCCAATTCTACATAGCTACATAATAAATATTATTAAATAACAGACACTTATGCATTTATGATATACGAAAATCTGCAAAGTAAACATCCACGGTCCAAATATTATAATATAGTTTACATATACTTTACAGACTTCGATATATCATAAATACGTAAACATCTGTCGTTCACATATTACTGATAAGAGTATGACAACGTTCCGTATATATTGCAAGATTACTAATTTTCAACAGATAACTAGCATCTGATAGAATAGATAAAAGTAAGGTCAAAGGTGATGGCATAAAAAGTTAGGAACGAAAATGACGAATACGTGAGAGAGGTCATCAAAGCGATAAAAAAGAAAAGTCTAGCATAGAATTGAATAATATTATGAGATAAAGCAGATATTTTTCTTTAAGAAATTCTCACGCAATGTTGCAACATATTTTTTTTTAAAGCCTGAAAGATAGTGATTATATCTATATCGTGCTGTACAGCTGCATTACATTTAGAAAAACTATGCTATAATATTTTTATTATATTAAAAATTGACGTAGATATATTGAAAGAAGTTTAGAAAACCTTCTTACGCAAAAGTAAACTTGAATATTGAGAGATTTAATTTATTTAAAAATTGTTTGAAATTCTTCTTTAAATTTTATTTATATGTCGAAGATATATTTCTTGTTTATAAATTACATACTCAATAAAAGAAAGCAGCACTTAAAATTGTAAACATAATATTTATAGTGATCTCCGATTAGCATTTTTTATTAGGGTATTTCAAGGTATTATTTATTTATTTATTAGGGTATTTTAGGGTTTTTAAGGCATTTATAAACTAATCCATTTTTTCTATCAACAGATTTTACCACTGAATTTGTCCAGTGACGAGGAAATAGTCACAGGGCTATCATTTCCTCTGGGACCCCCAACCAGCGTGGAGCCACCAAAAGAAAAACCACCCCCGCCTCCAGTTGATGTCAGCGACGAAGAAAATCTTCCAATAGAACCCTTGAAGAGATTGAATTCTACCCGTAGAATAAAGAAAGAACTACGCACCAGACGCTCTGATTTTCTTGGAATCGAGGGGGTATGATCATCAATTATTTTCTCGAATTCACGCCTTAATGCAAGGTCAACGAAAAAGGAGAAATGGGGTAAAATTACTTAGGTCTCAGATTTACGGGGACCTCAATATCCTTCTTACGTTTTTATGGTGCCCATGTAAATTAATTTCTCCTGGGACCGATCATATTTTCCGACAACCTTACGTTAATGTATTTCGCCAAATTCATAAATTAGAAAAATTGAATTTTTTTACCACGGTAAATTTGTACAAACTTAAGATTTTTAAATAATTTTTTCAAAACTTAAAGTTTGTTGATAATAGTTTCGTGCATAATGAGAATTGTAGGGAATAATAGAAAATAATGGAAAATAGTTCAAAATGGAAGCAGAATAGCAAATAATTGAAAGTAATAAAATATAAGAAAAAATACTAGAAAATAATAGAAAGTATCACAGAATAACATGAAATAATATAAAATGATAAGAAGTAATAGAATATGTTCGAAAATAACGAAATATAATAAAAAATATTTAAAAATAATGGGAAATAATAAGACATCTAAAAAAAATACTAAAAAAAAGTAGAAAACAATGTAGAATCATATAAAATAATATAAATGAAAATTAAATAGCAGGGGATACAAAGCAATATAAAATAGTATACGTTAATAAAAAGTAATAGAAAGTAATAACATATAAAAGAAAACAACAAAATGTAACGTAGAAAATATTAGAAAATATCCGAATATAATAAAAAATACTATAAAAAAGTGGAAAGTAATAACAAGTGATACAAAATTATTCGAACTAATAGAAAATAAAAGAATTTTCAGAGAAACGATCCCCGTTTCATTTTTAATGTAAATTGATTCATGTCCTAGTTTTTTCTTAGAACCGTAAAACCTACTTAGACACTTTTGCACTGTTGCTTTCGTTTCTTCTCACGATTTTCCACCTCCCATTGGCTTTCACTTGTTTCCGGAAGTTAATGTGTTCCGTGGCTGCTGGCATAGTCGCGTTTAGAGTTGCGAAAGATCGTATCATTGGCGTAACATCGTTTAATGGTATTAATTGAAGCACGTGAACGGATTTACGTAACGTACGAACGCAATTATGTAGATTTGTCCAACTTGACGAATGCTTGCAATGCGGTTTGTCAAGCGGGACACTTTAAGTCTACAATTTTTGCATATACTTAAATTATTAGTCATAATAAAAATAGCAATATATTTGCAAAATTCAAAATGGATCATATTATAAAGGGGGTACCTTTTGTACTTTTTTTAATGAGTTTTAATTTAATCTTATCTAATTTAAATCTGGTACTATTACTGAATAGATATTCTATATTAAAAGATTTATGTCTATTTATTTTATTTTTAATTGTATATAAACCTGTTAGATATTAATAAAAATTAACTTGTTTATATACCACACCTTCCTGGCTATAATTTTAGCATGCGGTTTATAAACCACACACGCAGTTAAAGAGTAAAAAAATATATGAAACACCTAACGAATATATGACAATACAGTATATTAAATAATACATAGAATGCTTAAGTAACATGTAAAATAATACAATATACTGAATAATACATAGAACACTAATATATAAAATAACACGTATGAAAGAGTATAATATACATATTAACTAAAATATAAAACGCTTAAAAATACATCGTTATTCAGCATTAAGGGATAACACAACCCCAAAAAGTCTCCATTAGACTTCCTCCATAATCAAGGAGGAATATCACCTCCTTCCTCAATACCACCCTTCCCATCAAAGAAATACCAAAAAATGATTTCAATTTTACAGGTAAACGACGACGAACTGGAACGAGAGCTTACCCTAACAAAGCCCCCCGACATGGCGGCAATCCTCGCCGAGGAGAGACGCATCGAACAACTTCATCGTCGTTCGTACGACACTGACAGCAACTACGAGCAAGATTCCAGTCACGAACGAGATTCCGGGGTCGAATTGGGCCACGCTGAAGACTGGACGAAACAACCGGTCAGCCCTGACATGTCCCAACACAGCAGACAAAGCAGCGAGCCGTTCGGTGCAAGCGTCACTTCCTCCGAAGAAGATGAAATCACGAAGAAAGAAAGGGAAATCATCGAGGTGCTCGAGAAGGAGGAACAATGGCGGTACGGGAACAATCGTGAGATGAACAGGTAGGAATTCTTCGAGGCAATTTCCTAGGAGAGGGTTAAACGTAAGGTCCATCGACTAGGATCGATGGTGCTTCGGTTTCGACGGATAGTGGATTCTCTTCGGGTTTCACGCAACGCGATCTTCGTCTATGAATTTCGTCGGCTTCTTGGTTCTTATTTATGTAGATGTTTTCTTTTCAACATGCTTGAGGTTTCTTTAACTTGCTATGCTAAGCGGATGAACATTTCTTGTATTGTTTGATTCGAATGCATGCATATGAAATCGAAGGTGAAGATTCTACGATAATGGCGTGACCGGTTGGTTGTTTGTGACCCTAGTGATATATGTTGAGTTTTGAATAGTGTTTATTGCTGGTCAATATCGTTTGTAAATTTAGATACTTGGGAATTTGGAGATTTCGAGATTAGGTAATTTGGAAATTTAAAAATTTGAGGATTTAGGAAATTTGGGTTGAAGTTTGGATGACTTGAAATTTGGAAATTTAAGAATTTGAAAAATTTAAAATTTGAGGAATTTAAAATTTGGAAAATTGAAGGTTTTGGGAACTTAGGAATTCGAAAATTTTGAGATTTCCAGATTAGGTAATTTGGAGATTCAGAAATTTGAGATAGTAGGAAATTGGGAAGATCAAAATTTGGATGAATTGAAATTTGGAAGTTTAGGAATTTGGAAATTTCAAAATTTGGGGAATTTAGAATTTGGAAAATTTAAGGATTTGGGGAATTTAGGAAGTGGAAAATTTGGAGATTTCGAAATTAGGTAATTTAGAAATTTCAAAATTTGAGAATTTAGGAAATGGAGAAGATCAAAGTTTGGATGATTTGAAATTTGGAAATTTGAGAATTTACAAATTTTTGATGCCGCATTTAAAAATTTATGTTTTTACTGGTTTGAAAATTTAGAAATCTAAAAATATAGAAACTAACAAATTTTTTAGCATTAAAAGTAGAAAATTGTATATTTTGAGCATCCGAAGTAAAAAATTTGTAAATTTTGAGCATCAGAAATAGAAAATTTGTAAATTTTGAGCATCAGAAATAGAAAATTTGTAAATATTGAGCATCAAAAATTATAAATTTGTAAATTTGATTTCTTACAAATTTAAATCTAAAATTTTTAAATTTCTAATCTCGAAAATTTTTCAATTTCCTAATATGTAATATAATATACAGTATCCTAAGGAGTCACTCTCAAACCACCCTTTGGTCACGCCTGCTCTACTATTTTCAAGCTTCTTTATTTATTGCTTATTGAGATTGTTTATCTCAAACTTGACACATTAACTACCACATTAGAAACCGCCGTATTTATCATAGTACGGTGCACTATAATTATGGGTTATTAAAGATATTAAAACTTAATCTCCTAATATACTACTTTCATTCACTGTTTCAAGCTTTTAGTATCTATAACATTGTTAGTACATATTTTGGGTTGCTGTTTCTTAATTACATATTTGTTCTTGTTAGAATTACAAGACTAGTCTATAATTTATTGTTAGAATAAAACCCTATTTCTTTAAGTTTCTTATTTGTTTTCCATTGGAATCGTCACCTTCGACGATAGCTCTAGCAGATCTATTAGTTCAATCGATAAATTCGTTCAAATTTTGTATGAAATTCAGTATTTTATCTTTCTTTAATTTCTCAAATACTTTCTGATAAAAAATTTGATTTATATGCAACTGTAAATAAAATACGCACGAATCTGTAGATTGACCTGATATTTTCTCTAAGCTGTGTCTTATATGTAAATATTATACACAATTATAATGAACTTGTATACCGGGATCGATGTACAAACGGTTATGAATAAAATAAACACTTTTACCTTAAACTGGTGGTCCTTTCCTGCCGCTACTCTCTCGCTGTGTATTATATTCCTATTTTCTCTTTATAGGTTGTTGCATCTTAAATGACCGTTCAAAAACATAGTTTAGTATTATTTGATAACGTGAGAATATTATTTTGTATTATTTGATAACGTGACAATGATGTGAAGTGATTATTGTATTCGTTCAAAGTTCGATCAAAATTAATATAATTTTACAATTATTCTTAATAGTAATTGATCATTTTTTTGTTGGAAGAAGCAGATTTTTAAGTTTTGTAATTTTTAGATTTTCACCGGAATTTCCAAGCCCCTAAATTTTCAAATTTAAATATGCAAATTTGTAAATTCTATATTTCCAAATTTCTAATTTTCTAATTTTCCATATTTCCCTTTTTTCAATTTTCCAAGTTTCTAATCTTTCAATTTTCTATATTTCCAGTTTGCCAGTTTTCCAATTTTCCAAATTTCTAATTTTTCAATTTTCTAATTTTTCCATTTTCTATATTTCCAAATTTCCCATTTTCCAATTTGCCAGTTTTCCCATTTTCCAATTTTCCAGTTTTCCAGTTTTCCAATTTTCCCAATTTCTAATTTTCCCCATTTCCAATTTCCCAAATTTCTAAATTTCTAAACTCCTATATTACTAAATACCAAAATACCTAAATTCCTGAATTCCCAAATTCCTAAATTCCTAAATTACTAAATTCCTAAATTCCTAAATTCCTAAATTTCCAAATTCCTAAATTTCCAAATTCCTAAATTTCCAAATTCCTAAATTTCCAAATTCCTAAATTTCCAAATTCCTAAATTTCCAAATTCCTAAATTTCCAAATTCCTAAATTTCCAAATTCCTAAATTTCCAAATTCCTAAATTTCCAAATTCCTAAATTTCCAAATTCCTAAATTTCCAAATTCCTAAATTTCCAAATTCCTAAATTTCCAAATTCCTAAATTTCCAAATTCCTAAATTTCCAAATTCCTAAATTTCCAAATTCCTAAATTTCCAAATTCCTAAATTTCCAAATTCCTAAATTTCCAAATTCCTAAATTTCCAAATTCCTAAATTTCCAAATTCCTAAATTTCCAAATTCCTAAATTTCCAAATTCCTAAATTTCCAAATTCCTAAATTTCCAAATTCCTAAATTTCCAAATTCCTAAATTTCCAAATTCCTAAATTTCCAAATTCCTAAATTTCCAAATTCCAAAATTTACAAATTCCTAAATTCCTAAATTACTAAACACCTAAATACCTAAGTACCTAAATACCTAAATAACTAAATACCTAAATACTTAAATGCCTAAATAGCTAAATACCTAAATATCAAAATTCCTAAATATCCAAATTTGCAAATTACCATATTTCCAAGTCTACAAATCTGCGAATCACCAGATTCCTAAATTTTCAAACGACCCCAAATCTCAATTAAAAACCACCCATTTTATATCAAGAATATCAATGAAGTATTTCTGAGTCTATCTACATGAAATTTTCAACTTAAAACTACCAAATCAGTCAACTAAACTTCACACATCTATTATATCAAAATTTGTTAAAATACTTCTCCTGAAGTCCATATCGTTCTCCAGATATAAAATCAATCTTTATTTATTTTTGGTTACAAACATACGTTATTAACATACAATGCATGCATTAAAATCGTCGTACACGTAATATCCATTTAACATGCAACAATCCCACTATACAATATCCAACCAAAAGAATGGTACAAATAAACTTGCCAACCCCCATAAATCAAGTAATCGAAAGCACAAAAATTCCTGACGAAACAGTGACTTGGGCGAAAAATTGGCGCACAAGCTGCGCGAGCTCGAAGAGGAGAAGATGCAGCTGGAGCGGGAACGGGCCCAGGAAACGGCCCTCCGTCGACAGGAAGAGACACTTCGCAAAAACGAGGACAACATGCGTAAACAGGAGGAGACGTTGCGCAAACAGCAAGAGGAAGCGGCGAGGCTACAAGAAGCAGCACGCGCCGAAGCCGAAGCGAAACGCGCTGAAGAGATGAGGCAGAAGGAGGAGGAGCTCAGGGTACAAGCGGAACAATTGAGGATTCAGAATGAAATCGAGGAGGAGAGGAGAATTGCAGATGCTCGTCGAATCGAGGAGAAACGCATCAGAGCTATGGAGAATCAAATTCGCGAACAAGAGGTAAGATTTGTTGGTATCTCTCGTCGTTGTATGGGTGCGGTTGCTTTGGAAGCGTTTATGCGAAATGTGACACTCGATTTGAAGCGGTGTGATGCTTTCCGCTCGTTCGGCTTTTTAACCCTTTCAGAACTGAGTTTTTTAAGAGTGATTATAACGGATTTGTTATTTATATGTTTGAGTTATTTAGGGTTACTAAAGATATTTAGGTTTATTTGGGTTTATTTAGGCTGTAGAAGGTTTGGGGGTAGTAGGAGATTATTGTTAGTCGGATTGTGGAGTACGTGCACCTTTATTTAGAATTACTAAGGTTATTTAGGGTCACTAAGGTTATTTAGATTAATTTAGGTTTATTTTAGTTGTAGAAGGTTTGAAGCTAGTAACAGGTTATAGTATCTCAGATTGTGGAGTACGTGCACCTTTGACTCATTTAGGGTTACTAAGATTTTCTGAATTTATTTAGGTTGTAGAAGGTTTGAAGGTAGTAGAAGATTATAGTTAGTCAGATTATGGAGTAACTCTGAGTTATTTAGGGTTACTAAGGTTATTTAGGTTTAGTTAGGTTTATTGACGTTGTAGAAGGTTGGAGTAAGTCAGATTGTGAAGTACGAGCACCTTTGAGTTATTTAGAGTTGCTAAAGTTATTTAGATTTATTTAAGCTTATTTAGATTAATATAGGTTTATTAAGGTTGCAGAAGGTTTGAAGGTAGTAGAAAGTTATAGTAACTCAAATTGTAGAGTACAAGAATCTTTGAGAAATAGGTGGAGCCGACATATCGTTAGATTGAATACAATTGAACCTTCAAGTAACAGTTCAGTTTGCAATAAGCAAACAAGTTCGTTATGAAATATTTTTAATTTTAAAAATGCAAAACATGAAGTAAATTATATTTGAAAATTAAATAAAATTCAACTAGATGGTACATGGTATAACTTTTCAATGGTATGACCATTTTTCTCTTTCAAAATTAATATACAGAGTTCACGATATGAAGTTATAACTCTTGTACCAGTGTATGTATTTTGGAAAATGTGAGAAAAGATGGAGATAGTTCTCTGAACCATCCATAAACCAAAATCCATCCATGAACCATCCGTAAACCAAATTTTTGTCGTTAGTACAGTTCATATGCATTCATCAACTGCACTATTTTTTTAAAATACATCTTTATGTTTTACACAGTTTAATTCCTCTCGTAAATTCTATTCATTGAAACTGAAAGGGTTAAATGTCCAAAGAATCCATAAATTAAAAAAATGTCTGCGTCACGAAATAAAAGAATTTACACTCAAATTGCTTTCAGAATATATTGTTAAAGTTGACTGTTTACAAAATATAAATTAAACTTCATGAATTCAAATTGAATTTTAATATGAACAAGAATAAAAAATAAAATGCGTTTTTAGAATGAAAACACCCTTATGATTTCTGCGCCTAACGAGGTGTATTATAAATTGACAGTCTTGTTCAGTTATTAGAATATTTAAACGTACTTTGTTTTGAAAAAACGTTAAGCATTCTAACAACCGTTTTGAGGTAACTGCATGCTGTAAATTAAGTACATCGCACTACAATCGCTAACGGGAGTATCGTTGATAATTATTCGCAGAACACAACATTGAGTGGTGCTGGTTTGAACGACGAAGAAGACGAATTTGCTTCTGGGGTAAGGGCAAACACTACTTTGTTTCACTGCTTGCTTCTAACAGAAACGAGGCAATTAGCAAATAAGATCAAATTTTGTACCATACCAGAAATCACGAAATTCACGTTGTAAATAATTTTTAGAATATTTCCTTGCAAGAACGTACAATCCAATTCTAAAACATCGTTCGAAATTTAAATTAAAATCATAATATATTTAATAAACAAAACCATTTCATATTTAAATAAAAAATCACATTATATTTGATGAAAAAGACCACATTATTTTTAAAAAACAAACGCAGCCTATATTCAATAAAAAGAAGATCAAATTTAATAAACAAAATCATATTTAACAAATAAAATTTTGAATTTACTAAGTGAGTTTGAAGTGTAAATAATTAAATTATATGATTTTTTTATTTCGTTTGAGCAGGAAGTGCTCAGAGTGGAAAGAGAGTTGCTTCAGTTGGAACAGGAAGAATTGAAACGTCAACGAAGCAATCTAGCATACCGCGAACAAAAGCAGCTCAAACTGGCAGAACAATTACAGGAACAATGGAAATCTTTGCAAGACGTTGCACATAGCTCCGCGAACAATATTCAACCGTTCAAAACCCAGCCACCAGTGAATTATAGGTCATCGATGCCGAATCTTCAGCTTCAGGATGTCCAAAGAAGAAGACCTCCACCTCCTCCGATACCTCCTGCTAAACCATTGCGTTTGATTGATCAAAGGCAAAGGGACGTCACTATCAGGTAAATATACTATTGTGTTCGTTTTATTTTGTTAGGTGTTTTCTTTATTAGGTCGTACGAAGCGAGGAAGTTTGAAAAATATGGGTGAGTCTCGCTATATGGCTTCTTTTTATGATTTGTGGAGGGGGTGTATTTTCATACGGACTTTATAACATAATTGTAGTGTATATTCATTGGAGTATTCAGAGCTAATAATTTTTAAATATCAATATTAGAAACTTAGAAATTATTTCTTTTTTTAGACTTGCAAATTCGAATGTTTAATATTTGACTATTGGAATTAATGAATTTCAAATTCGAGCGATTAGGATCCTAAAAATGAAGAAATTTGGAAATTCCGAGATAAATGAGATAATTTAAAAATGTAGAAATTTTGGAATTGAAAAATTTGAGGATTTCAGAAATTTCGAAATTCAGAAAGTTTTACTATTTAGAAAATAATGGATTTGAAAATTCAGGAATTTAGTGATTGTAGAATTCAGACATGTAGACATCTTGAAATTTGGATATTTGAAAATTTAGAAACTTAGCAATTTAGAAATTTAAAAATTCAAAAATTTTTTAAATTATGAATCTAGAGATCTAAAAAATTAGAAATCTAAAGATCTAGAAGTCTGAAATTTCCAAAAGTTAAAAACCTAGAAATTTAAAAATTTAGAAATTTAGAAATTTAGAAATTTGAAAATCTAAGAATTTAGGAATTTAAAGATTTGAAAATTTAGGAACTTAGAAGTTTAATCTAGCAATTAATTCGGACAATAAAAGAATACCATTTATATGTCCTTTTCCATCATTCTCATTCGTACAGTTCCAGACAAGGCCATAAAGCGAAACTCTTCCATACAATAACCTCTTTCGTTCTAATTTAATCCCAATACTAAATTTCTTCATCTTTCATAAAAAGAATTGTATATATTTCTAAAGATTTTCAAAACATTTACTTGACTCGTAACCAACAACAATTAGATTTCATCAGTGTATAAACTTAACGTAGAAAGACGTAATCCTTTACACTCTGCTAAACTGCAACAGGACATTGTTATGTCAGCGTTTTAGACGGACAGTAGCCAGCAGGAAATGCAAATTAGAGTTAGAATACAGTGTCATTAATCGAGTCGTTTAATTTCCTGCTGAAACTTTCCGGTTTGTTGCGTCTGATGTAACGTTTTCTATCTGGACGACATGTTTTGTCAGTCTTCAATTGCATTTCGAACATTCTTAATCTTCCTATCATTCTTGCTTCTCATGTCTATTTATCTTATACTATATCTTGTACTGTATACAATCTATATCAAACTTCTCAAAAATAAATAAATAATTTTACATAATAACTTTGTTACTTCTAATTAGATTCTTACTTCTAATATTTCACCTGTTTCTGACTTATTTATGAAACTTGAAGACCTGTTCTAACGATTGAACCAAAGTTAAATTATTAGTTTATATGTTTAAATTGATTATAATTTATAAATTAATTGATGACAAGGAGGGACATTTAAGTGATGCTTTTATAAAATGAATAGGAACAGCAGAATTCCGTCTGCGGACTCGATTCCTCAACAAGTGGACGCATCCTTGAGACACAGTGCATCGGTTACGACACTTTCGAGTCATGCTGGCCAACAGATGACCAGACAAACGTTGCAAGCCCTTAGTGCAGTTCCTCGACCACGAATTGTTCAAAGTGATCAGTGGGTGCAACGAAGGAAAAGCGATGTACCACGGGGTGCTCACGATTTGAATTATCAGCATTGGCTCATTCAGGTGAGTTCTCTCAACCAAACATCTATTATTCATTATTCAATAATAATACCTAGATTCGACGGGTAGAGTCTAACTTTTAGTTTAGTTTCAAGGAAATGAAGTCTTGGAGAATGAATTTTCAAGAATTTAGGGGAACATTCATAACAGAGGGATGGTCTCTTTATTTTCATTGATTGTCACTTGATGATGCACTTCTGTATTTTACTAAAATATATGAAGTGGTCTCCTTGTTTTCTTTCATTGTCATTTAACGTCATATTTCTAAACATTGCTAAAATTTGTGAGAAGGGATACCAAGATAGTTTATAATTAAGGAATTTATGAAAATGAATTAATGTTGCTCAGATCAGTATAGAGCAAGAATATTTTCTGTGTTATGGTACTATTATTCATGCAGATATTCCTGAATATTAATAATACTCACCGTATAATATGTGCAGGAAGCGGAGCAGAGAAGAATTAGCGAAAAGAATCAGCGATCACCAGCCCGGAAATCTCAGATGCACGTAACTGGAACGTCAGTTCCTTATGCTACTGCTCCAACGAGAACGGACAGTAAACCATTACCTGATTCAATTATACAAACTCTTACACAAAGAGTGCAAAACAGAGCGCAAGAGAAGCCTCTTCCGCCGAGAAGAAGGTACGAAATTTATTAATTTGGTAACTGCATATTTTGTGGATTTTCATACGTCTGTATTCGCATTTATTGATAATTATAATTTTCAGATTGGAGCACAGTACCAGTCAGGAACATCTCTCCACGTTGCAACACCAGCCACATGTTATGCCACAACAAAAGTCTCAGCAACCACCACCGATGAACACGGAGAATCAAGAGAAAATGTTGAGCGTCAGTGGTAAAAAGAAGTGTTCGCATTGTGGAGATGAATTAGGTACGAAAGTGAAAAATAAACAAATACACTGAGCGAATGATTAAAAACTACGATAAGAAATCACGTGGATTAGTAGTGACTTCGAATGACGATAAAAATAATTTCTTAATCATTAAATTTCGAATTCGTAGTTTCTCAGGTATAGCTATATCTGTAGATGTTATTCAAAATTTATTATTTATCTTCCAAATCAAATTTAGTTTCAAAATTTAAAGCAAACAATTAGAGTTGATATGATGAGATTTATGATAAGATGACTCAAAGAATTGAGGATTTAACTAATTTTGGATCGTCAGGTCGAGGTGCTGCGATGATCATCGAAAGCCTCCGACTGTTCTATCACATGGAATGTTTCAAGTGCTGCGTGTGTCATGTGCGGCTCGGTGACGGACTAATGGGAACAGACGTGCGTGTTCGGAATCACAAGCTTCACTGCCATAACTGCTACTCCAGTGACGACGGTATCCACATTTGTCTTATTCTATTAATATCTATTTCACAGAATTTTCTAACTTTGTTGATGTACAGTAGACTCCCGTTATATCGCCGTCATTGTCAATTAAACAAGATTTCTTTCAAATTTTTGGATATGACAGCAACGCTCTCCCCTTCACTCTACCGCCATTGTATTTGTTAAATTCCTTTCATGAAAGAACCTGGTGCTATCATGCCAGTTTCAAGAATTTTACGTTCAAACAGCTGTGTACATTTATGGTAATATAACGGAAGTTTACTATGTATGACGATGATGCTTAAAAATTCCTAAATAAGGTCGATGTGCAATATTTGCTATTATTTTTAAACTTTTTTCATTAGTATTTTATGAATGATATGTATAGTCAAGTTACTTTTTCAAAGATTAGATTACTAATCAGATCTTTAAACCTATGCATTTGAAAATTTAGAACGTTAGAAATTCTGAAGTTTGGAGATACAGAAACATTGAATTTTCACATTTCCAAGTTTGAAAATTTGATAATTTGTCTACATAGAAATTTGATACTTTGAAAATGTGATAATTTGAAAACTCAGAAATTTATTAATTTGGAAATTAAAGAATTTATAAAATATAGAAATGTGAGATTTGAAGTTAGAAAATTTAGAAATATGGAAATGTAAAAATTGGAAAACCTACTTGCTTCTTTTCTGATAAGCTCACACAACATAAATCTTTGTAAATCAATTAACCTTACTATTCCCAATTTTTAATTATAATTTTACAAATATATAAACAATAGTTCAAATACAGTTTCATAAAATTTCTACTAACATGTTTCTCCATTATGTTACAGGTGTCAAGTTCAGCTGCGTGTAAAACGAAACGGAACAACGGCTAATGGAAGCACACTAACTTGAATATAGCATCACGCGGCTATATTTTATAAGTTATAGTTGACCATATAGCTACACGTGACACGCGAAAGTGACACCGACAGATTCTCTGTTAAAATTCTGTACATAACACTGTGACAGACAAAAGCAAACAAGATCGATGGTCATACTATGTCCTCGTTTTGTTACACATCACTTTAAAACATTTAATAAGATTTCAAATAACGCCGATTTCTTTTCGATCGACTAACCGTTAGATCGTGTAAATAAACGTGTATTTATGTAATTAGCGTAAAGATAGGGATATCCAAATGAGATGAGATATTCATGAAGGAGCTGCTGTCCGCCATTGAGAACCCAAGAATTTAGCCTCGATATCGGCAATCATTCACTGTACATTTTTGTAATATAGTTATCCCGTGGTATTTATGAAAGATCCCTGATATATGAAGGCTATAATAACAAGAAAACCCTCTACTTTTATTCCTTGCTACACCCTCTTTCTCTCTCTTTATTTTATTTTTTCAGCGCATACAATCAGTAGACGATTCTTTGAGTTAATTCGATCGACGTCTCCCGTTGGCGTAACCAGGTAGGGGCTATATGACGTGTGACGATGTAGATTTTCGGACCATGCGTGGTAAGACACGTGTTGATTTTGGGCGTGGCGATGCAACGGGTGACGATTTAACGCGTGGTGATGCTATGCGAAGTAGTCTAACGCGTGGTTATATGCGCGTGATAATGGAATGCGTGGTGATGCTACACGTGGTAATTGTATGCGTGGAGATGCTACTCGTGGTAATTGTATGCGTGGTGATGCTACACGTGGTGATACAACGCGTGGTACTGCAATGCGTAGTTGACCAACGCGTAGTAATCTAACGTGTAGTAATTCAGCACGCGACCATCTAACGGTAATCTAATGTGTAGTAACTCAATGGGTAATAATCTATCGCGTAGTAATCTAATGCGCAGCAATTCAACGGGTGGTAATCTATCACGTAGTAACCTAACGTGTGGTTATTCAACGCGTTGCACTCTACCGCACAGTTACCAAACACGTGATAATTATCTAACGCATAGTAATCCAGCGCGTAGTAATCTGACGCGTGGCTATACATCATATGGCAATATCACGCAACCTGAAGACCCAAAGAAATCCTAGTTACGCCAATGACGTCTCTCCCACGGAGATTGTTCAGATCCTTAATTGTTACGATGAAGTAGAACGATGAATTATAGCTGCATAGCGAGATGCAATTTCGAGTATCTGTTTTTTCTTTCTTTGTTTCTTTTATTTCTTCGACGACGACGATGGTCAAACGTTTCCTCGTGATCGATCGGAGATAACTTGCTATTGTGAAATATTGTATGATACGTGTCTCGTGTTACTGCAACATGTAATTTTACATATTATCGAGAATAAATGTTTATTATAACGAGCGTAGACCTGCTCAGAGCCCGTTTTGGTTTTCCTCTCATGCGAACGTCCTTTTTCATCGATCGAAATAATTACATAGCGGTTCGCGCGTGATGCACGCGGAATTAATTACACGGTAATTTGAGCAGTTGATCATGGTACGAAACAGGATACAAATAAATAGATGAATCTTGCTGCGGGGAGGACATCTCTGCTGATACGCAGGTAAGATATATTTAGAGGCCTTTGATGAGTGTAAATGAACACTCAGGGTATCTTTTTATCTGGGTAAAATAAATCTGATGACGTCAAGCAGGGATGCCAAAGGTCGTCGAACGTCGATGTTGATGAGTTATGGTTTCAATTTATCTCACACGCCCTTGTATTTTTAGCGTTAACATCTTTGTATCGCAAGATTTTATTATAAAAATAAACTTTATTTATATCACTTTCAATCTGCATGTTTTTATTTCTGGTTCTTTAATTAATTTGTTAGTGCTGACAATAAAAAGGCATGAAATTCTAAATCTGAAAATTGAAAAATCATCAATAAATCTCATCTAAAATATTTCAAAATTCTAAAGTAGTATCGAATAAAAGAGTAAAACAGTAAAAATTATAAAAGAATTTCTAAGAATATCACAATACGTTCATGATCACCTAATACACTGCGAAGGATCTGCAGAAAAATATCACTACATTTTTAATATCATAAAATATTACGTTTTTTATCAATTCTTTCATCCCGATAATTAAATACGTAAAAAAAGAATAGCTCTAAAGTGTATTAAACTTTTAAGTACACTTGATCACTTAAAAATCTGCAAGTTCTATCACAAGCATCAACGCACGATTAAAAGGGTCCGACGCGTCGATAAATTCGTAAATACAATATGTTGAGCAAATAGAGCGTAATGCTCGGCCACTGAGAGCAAGTATCCGAGCTACACCCTCCTACCTTCCTTGGAAACAATTAATTCTAGGTCGAGTTGCATAACACCGTGGAAAACCGAAGGGAGACAAATCGGTGACTGTGACTGCGACGCAGCTCGTCACGCGAAATTGAATTACTCAGTCACCTCTCGATACACTTTATCAGTTTCAGTAATTTGACCAGCGGTTCCTCTATTAATAGGATAGTTCCCCTCTTCGATATGTGGTACACGTGCGTAGGTATGTGGATCGTGTGTCGCTTCCTGAACTTCGTTGTACAGTAGACTCTCGTTATATCGCCACGTTGCGGAAGGACATTTTTGAAATTGGTGACACAGCGCTGTGGTTTCAGTGTCATGAAGAGGAAATTGTACTGTGAAGGATACAGCTTCTTTGGGAGTATGAAGGTAAATATTTTAGATTTTTAGAAGTTTTTTATTTTTCAATTTTTGAGGTCTATTTCTGGAAAATTATGAATTTCTAAATACTCGAATTTATGGATTGCTATATTTTTTAATATATATATTTTGAAATAAATGTTATTTGAAAAATTGTTTTTCATTCTTAAATATAAAAACAAAAATGATAAAGCAGCTATGGATATTTATAAAAAACCTATATAAAATATATTATACATATATACATTATAAAATATAATTACATAATATAAATTTCGCGTATAAATACATATTAATAAATAAATATTTAATACATATATAAATAAATACATGTATATACATATTATATTATGTATACATATACATATGTTTAATATTTTAATATATATTACAATTATATAATTAACATAATGAATATGCAATATAGTAATCAATACTATAACAATATACTAATATACATATATCATATTTATTACATACATCACATTTATCTATTTTCCATGAAAATCCATATGTAACATATATGTTATATTTCATACATATGAAGCACAGTAGTTGAGGGTTAAAAGCGATAATTATAATCCGTGGTGTAGATAAACAGCAGAGTTCAGAAACCTTTACTGACCTACGTTTTTCCATGCTCCTGTCGGTAAATAAAAAGGAAATAGGTTCTCGCAATCCCTTGAAACCGTTACACAGTGTGGTCACACGTGGAACACACGCGTATCCTCACTTGGCTAAACACAAAGAGCGCGAACATAGAACTGGAGCGTAGCCGTTCCAACCACCTAGATAGTTGTCGAGCATAAAATCATTTACCTGTCGAATAAGTAATCGATTCGATAGAATACTTGCACGCGATCGTGATTCCTTCGGGTCTTTTCGAGTCACATTTCAGAAACCAACGTCCGTAACGAGGAACCCGCTGTTCTTAATTCCCTCAAAAGTACCATTTGTAATATACTTCTTTCTTTCGCAACGAATAAGTACACGCGAGCTTCAAATTATAGAACGGAGAATAATTGCGAAAGAAATCATTCTGCAATTTCGTAATGATTTTTAAATCAACGCTTGAAATGCTACGTTGTTTTTATTACGTTAGTACGAAGAGTTTTGTAGTGTTGTAAGATTTTGAAATAACGTTACCGATCGTGATTTCTTAATCGTGTGACTTTCTTTATAGTTTTTTTAATAGTAAGCAGTGGTCATTGTATCAAATTTTAAAGTGAAAGGGAATTGATGAAGTGTGTAAATAATGAAAAGTTAATTGACATATACAGGGTTCGGTTTGATAGATAATAATGGATGCTATAAACTAGACTCTAGATCTTAGAAAATGGACAGAAATACGTTGAAAAAATAAGTTGAATAAAAGCTTATTACATGAAACCTTTCTCCGAAAAAATTCTGTTTGAAAATTCAACAAAATATTTATTCATGAAATAATGACCGATTTAGAAATTTTTAAACTTTCAAAATTCTACAATTTTTCATCTTAAAAGTTTACAAATCCCCAGACTTCATGATTTATAAATTCTAACCTTATTTTCGAGAGAACTAGTTTTGAAAATTTCTCAAAATAGTTTATGAAATAAAATAGCAATTTTATCGATTTTAATCGGACTTCTACTGGAATAACAATTTGAATAATTAATTTAGTAATTTGGAATTATCCTTTATGACAAATATTGACAATTGCATAATGGATTTAATAGAAAATGTAATAGGTATATTACATTACTAATTATGACATTTGTGAATTAGAATTAATTACAGTTTCATTAGCTCACCAATTACTTACAATATTTATAATCAAAATAATTACAGAATTTTCACATAAATTATTTAAAATAAGAATTATAAATAATCTTTTTAATTATGGAAAATGAGAATTATAAAAAATCTTTTTAATTATTAAAATTAAGAATTATAACAAGTCTTTTTAATTATTGAACTTAAGGATTGTAAAAAATCTTCTTATTTATAGAAATTAAGAATTGTAATAGTTTTAATATAAAATTAAGAAAAGAATATTGCTGTCTATAAATAAATTTTGTTATAAATATTTTGAAGAATATACAAACTATTCTCTAAATGAAAATTGAACGCAAAAGCACCCCATAGAAATACATGTTCCAAGTCAACCGGTATAATCATTTTTTATCCCAACAAAGACCAATATTTCTACGAAAGCACCTCGGTAATTTCTATAATTTGAAATAAAAAATCCCCTATCCATCATTTTGACAGGCTCGATCGTAGAGTTAATATTCATTTTTCTGCACAGTTGAAATAAACGTCATCCACAATGAGTAAATAGAGATTTATCGATTCGAATGTATTTCTTAACAGAACTTGGATTCAAATCCATTTACACTGACGTAATAGCAAACTCGTGCACCATAAAATTACGCGACCTATCGAATCGTTTTATCGGCATCGTTAATTTTGGTACTTTCCATTAATAGACACGAACACACCTGCCCTAGTGTGCTACACGTCGAACTGTGTGATCGAACGACGAGCAGCAAGCTTATTTTTTTAAGTGAATATCAAAACACTTCGACCATCGACGAATTAATACGCTGGAAAAGCGTTTAAAGGGTCACTAACATGTTTACACAACGCTTAATCGATATTCGATATTGTTACATTGGCTTTTTATGAACAAATATTTTTTTTTAATTTCATATTGAAAGCCTTTTAAAAAAATTCTTGAGTTTTCAGGGGATGTAGCTGTACCCAATTCCTTTTCAATTGTTTTAAATAATTTAGAGAAGATTGGTACATAAATTGATAATTACATTAATAATAATGATTGATAATTTCAAAATATATTTTTTTATGAAAAGTTCTCAATTTTTTTTCGATGTATGTTTCTTAAGGAATTAAATATTAAATTATGTATGCAAAAGGTGGTCATTAATGTAGGAGATACTTTAATTTTAAGGTTAAAAAATAACATGAAGTTTCTCTATATTTTTTATATGAAATTATTTCAATTATTTTCTTTTTTTCACATTGTCGATTTCATAGAAATTTCATATGTTACGATAAAGGGTCATGAAAATTATATCCTTAATAATTTACAACATAGGCAAATTGCGTCCAGAAATTATGTCAAGAATGCTGATGAAATGATTAAAATGTGGTCAGGAATTTCTGAAAGAGATATAAAGCTGCCAAGCGTGCGCGGAAATGAAAGGACGTGTTGAAAATCCTCTGTAGTCACGAAAAGTGCACATGATAAGATAATCCATTGTTTTCGTGAGGCATTGTGCACCTAAAGTGAGCAAACTATTAATTTAACTGAAAAGAAAAATTATTCAACAAATTCGAAATTATTAACTTCTCGCTCTGTTGGAACATCTCCGCCATTTTGTGACGCTATTTATCCTTGCAGTTTTATACTCTTTCTTCCATTATAAAAATGATTAAAACATACAATATCGTATTATTTTTTGTTATTTATATTGTTGGGTTTTTTTATTATGATTTTTATTTGTAAATATTCTAGCGTGACTGTATAACGTATCGACAGTAAATATTTTATCATAATTGTATAAGTATACATGTATTACGTGATTATATTAGGTATGAATATATTGTGTTAATATAATAAATAATGTAACGTATTCGGTATAAATATATTTAATAACATAATGTAGAATATGAAACAATATAAATATTAAATGGTATAATAAATTAAGTGATATAATCAAAGTATAAATTTTCCCTACACATACCTACATATTAAACAGTATAATGTATAAGAATTTGTATTTGTATTGTGTATTATATAATACTATATAAAGTATAAATGTCCCACATAAATATTACAGATAAATATACAATAGATCTAGCAAATCAAAAGTCGAATAACGCTTCAATAATAATTTAAGTAGACAAACCTTATAACGAATAACATTACAACGGTTTTAACAAAGTTACAGAATGGAACTTGTAAAGTTCGGATATCGATAATCCTGTTTGAAGTTTCGCAATGAAGAGTAGTGGCTGTTTGATGCGCTGTGTGCATGCGTTGATCTAACCACAACCGTTGTTGCTTGTCAAGGCACCACATGTCTCAGAGCGGTTAACGAGACTCTGGAAGCCAGTCTTGGTTACATTGTAAAGGTAACACATTGACTAAGCATAAGGTGTTATGCATATGATATACATATACTAGATATTTATTTACATATTACTTATTGTTAAGATATTACAAGTCTTCAAATATAAAAACAATTTGAGTAGCTGATGTATTATTAATCACACCTGCAATTCTTGGAAGAATGGATTAAAGTTAAGAGCTAATGCTTATGTACTGAGTATAAATTGTTAATGAGAATAATAAAAATCTATAATCTTAATAATCGCGTCGAGTAGGCAATTGTTCTCTAAAAGAAAGCAAATTGTTCTCTAAATTCCCAAATTTGATAATTTATAATTCATAATTCACAAATTTCGGTCTCTAAATTTTAAAAATTCCATATTCTCAATGTTCTATATTTTCAAGTATACAAGTTTTAAATTTTCGTACTTTCAAATTTCCAAATTTTCGTATGTTCAATTCTAAATTCCCATATTTTTAGATCCTTTGATTCTCAAATTTCCAAATACCCAAATTTTTAAATTCCAACATTTCCAAATTCTTAGATCCTCAAATTCTATAATTTGAATTCAAAATTCAGAAAGTTATCTGAATTCAATATTGTAAAATTTTTAAATCTCTGAATTTATGAATTCGTAAATCCCCAAATTTTCTGATCTTCAAATTTTCAATTTTCCACATTTTCAAATCTGCAAATTTTTAGATTACCACATTCTCAAGTCCTAAGATTCCAAATTCAAAAATTTAAAAACTCACAGATTCCGAAATACTTACATCTCCAATTCCCAAAGCTTCAAAACTCATTTTCCAAATACCTAAATCTCCAACTCCAAACCTTCAAAACTCATAAGTTCCCAAATTTCAAACCTTCGAAGTCCATCACTTCCCAACTTCCACAATTTGAAAATTCGTTCCAAAACCCCAAGGTACAAAAATGTCCAATAAAAGTCCTCAGTTCCTGTCATCCCAACTGAACAAGAAACGTGCTCCAGCGCTTCTGTATCGGATGACATTTTTCTAAATCCCGCAGAGAATCATCGCACCGAATCTTTCACTTGGTTCACATTTCGCCGCGTGTCCCATTTTTAATTTAGTCTACCTCGAATTGCTGACCACTGCTGACTACGCCGCCGTCTACCAACAGACCGGCGTCATATCCAGTATTATCCAACGTAGCTCCGCGGAGCCGGCTCAGTCGTGTGATAAACGTGGAGCACCTAGGTAGGTGCGTCCACACATCCATCCGACACGCTGGTGAATCGTGGGCTACGAACAATGTGCCCGTGGACCCCGCGAAACGGAACACGACCAGCTCAATAAACGCTCGAAGTGTTGCGAAACCGTCTAGTGTCGTTTCACTACCGTGTTTTTGTTCGAATTCGTGCGAAATCGACCAACTGGAAGTCGCATCCGACAATCTGACAGTGCTTGGTACCAGATCGTTTTCAGGTGAGCTACCGATTCAAACTGACATTTATCGCATAACAACTCGAAGACACCACTAATAACACAAATTTTGGCGAAATTGCTTCTTAAGGTTTATGACATTTTTTAATATATTATAAAGTACCTTGTATTTCGAAATATTGAATATAGTAATAACGTGGTTTTATATTTGTGTACGATATTTTGTGTGATTTTTCTGAATACTCTGCAGTATTTTGGATGACACAATTTTTTGTGTACAATGTTTTTAGAACAGAATTTTTTGAAGTTTTATACGACGCAGTTCTTGGAAGTATTCGATATTTGACACAGTGCAGTTTTTGAAATAGTGTGTACGATATTTTGTGTGACACAGTCTTTTGAAAAGACTGTATGATATTTTGTGTGACACAATTTTTCAGAATAATATATGCAATTTATTTAACACGGTTTTTTGAAATGGTATAGTCAATGTTTTATCTAACATAATTTTTCGGGATATCGTATACGGATCTTAATTATCCTAACTTTGTGAATTGGTGCAAAAAGTACCAGTGTGAATATTCATAACTTTGAAATATTGGTACGTAAAGATATGTTTAGAAATTCGTAAAATTTATGACATAAAAGTCAGCTGTTTGACATTTTCATTTTTTAAGATAAAAAGACACTAAATTATTTTACAATTACATTACAATTATTTTCAACTACATATTTTACAATTTATTATTATGCAATTACTGTTATAGTAATTTCTACATACGAACTGTTGTACTTTTAATACAACTGTTTACAAATTTTACGTAGGATTTTACTTATTTTTTTAAAAATGTAACATGCACATTTTTTGCGCCATAGATGTAATTATTAATTAAATATAAATATACTACTGTGCATAATGCGAGTACATAATATAGACATTTTTTTAATAAGAACGAATTTGAATTTTTTCATTTGTACTGCTATCAATTTCAGGCAGTGGTATAAATGTTTCGAAAATTAAAGGGTTGCAGTTAAAGTGATGTGTGCTTGTCACTCGATATTGAAAAACGTAACAGAAAAATCGTGAAGGTGAATCAAATAAAAACTTGTTGGATGAAACGAATAGAATAAATATTTATTAAAATATATTCTATAAAAAGTTATAAAATTAATTAATGTAATTAAAATTAGTTTACTTCAAATTAATTTAAATCGAAATTATAGCTGATTAAAATTGAAGTAATTTAATTTGCATAATTTTTCAAATAATTTAATTCACTTCAATCTTTAAGTAACTTAATTTACTTCAGTTTTAAGTAACTTTACTTCAATTTTAAATGAGTTAAAATTAGTCATAAAATTACAATTAATGTGCAAGTAATTACATTTATAATTAATTGACAGTGTAATGCTTTTGCGAAAGATAAATTATGAACAATGGAGAATAAATTGATTCTCGTGTATAGATATGCTACTTTTTGTTCCAACATTTCATTAGTATTATGATTGAACATTAACAGACCGGAACCACCGTTAGTCTTTTATTGTTCGATTATTATCCAATCGACAGAGAATCCATTTTTAACACAGTCCCATAAAAAATTCGATATAAAGTCGACAGGTGTTTCACATATCTTTTTATATGAATTTCAGCGAACTCTAATATACATACGTAGATTGTATCAAGCGCATCCGTTCATTGAGGCTTGATATTTTGACGGTGGTACATGTAGTAATTTCATAACTTCGTATTTAAAAATGGAAACCTCAGGTGATTATCAATATTTCAGGGTTTTAGTGATTCATATATGCACATATATGCAAAGCAGATTTATGCGATTAGTATGTATTGTTAATACAATGTTGTCAGTGTTTAATGTCTTTAATATTATAGTGTTAGGTTAGGTTGATGACTCTGTTATCAATAAATATTAATACATAATTAGTAAATTAATACGTTTAGTATATTATCAATAAATAATTAAGAAATTGAGAAATAGTAATAAATATTGAAAACCGTGAATTATAGATAATACATATATGCATATTTAATATCTGTAGTCTTTGTGAATTTCGTTTAACATTGCACAATTAATAATTTTAAGAGTATGATTAATATCTAACTGAATAAACAAATAGCAAACTGATATATACAAGTGCATTGATTACATTATATGTATAAACAAATAATATAAAACAGTGGAAAGTTAAATATTTAAATAACTAATACATAATATCAATCATCAGAGTGTTCATAATATAAGCAAAAAGGAAATAGGGTCTAATACACTCTTTTATGAAACGATCAATATATTGTACTGTCAACATTTCAGAATTCTCACGATCACTATACATGATTAGTATAATAGTGTTAATAGTTCAGTGTTATTAATAAACATTGACTTTGAATTCCTTAATCCATGAATTCTCAAGTTTTGAGAAACTCAAATTATGAAATTCCCAAATTTCGAACTTCTCATCTTTAAATTTCGAAATTCTGAAATTTTCAAATTCTTGAATTCTCAAATTCTGAAATTTTCAAATTCTTGAATTCTCAAATTCTGAAATTTTCAAATTTTCAAATTTTCAAATTCCCAAATTCCCAAATTCCCAAATTCCCAAATTCCCAAATTCCCAAATTCCCAAATTCCCAAATTCCCAAATTCCCAAATTCCCAAATTCCCAAATTCCCAAATTCCCAAATTCCCAAATTCCCAAATTCCCAAATTCCCAAATTCCCAAATTCCCAAATTCCCAAATTCCCAAATTCCCAAATTCCCAAATTCCCAAATTCCCAAATTCCCAAATTCCCAAATTCCCAAATTCCCAAATTCCCAAATTCCCAAATTCCCAAATTCCCAAATTCCCAAATTCCCAAATTCCCAAATTCCCAAATTCCCAAATTCCCAAATTCCCAAATTCCCAAATTCCCAAATTCCCAAATTCCCAAATTCCCAAATTCCCAAATTCCCAAATTCCCAAATTCCCAAATTCCCAAATTCCCAAATTCCCAAATTCCCAAATTCCCAAATTCCCAAATTCCCAAATTCCCAAATTCCCAAATTCCCAAATTCCCAAATTCCCAAATTCCCAAATTCCCAAATTCCCAAATTCCCAAATTCCCAAATTCCCAAATTCCCAAATTCCCAAATTCCCAAATTCCCAAATTCCCAAATTCCCAAATTCCCAAATTCCCAAATTCCCAAATTCCCAAATTCCCAAATTCCCAAATTCCCAAATTCCCAAATTCCCAAATTCCCAAATTCCCAAATTCCCAAATTCCCAAATTCCCAAATTCCCAAATTCCCAAATTTCCAAATTCTTAAATCCCCAAATTTTCAAATTCTCAAATTCTCAAATTCCCAAATTGTCAAGTTCTCAGATTTTCAAATTCTTGAATTCTCAAAGTCTCAAATTCTCCAATTTCCAAAATTACGAATTTCTAAATTGTTAAACTCTCAAATTACAAATTTTGAAATTCTCAAATACCGAAATTTCTAAATTTCCAAAGACTCGTGTTTCTAGCTCCCCCAATACTTAAATCAATTCCTAAGTTCTTAAACTTCTACATTTCCAAATTTTCAAAGTTTCAAGTTTCCTAACATCCAAAGTTCCAAATATCCAAATATCCAAACATCCAGAATTCCAAATTCCCAAGTCCTCAAGTTTAAAACTTTAAAAATTTCGACGTTCCGAAACGTCCACATTTCCATGATTGAGTGAACACATCCAAATTTTTAAACTACCAAATCTCCAACTAACCAATCTCTAAATCCTCAACTTCGCGGTCGATACTACATTGCCAACATAACACTGTCAACATCTCATTACCGTCACTAAACACTGAGAACCTGTAATATTGGCGTGCAATATTGATCGCCTAAGGTCTCCATTAAACATTTTCTACGAATACTTCGCAGCAGCATTTCGAGTCAATCTTTCGTTTTAACAGACCGAAAATACCGCTAATCCTAAGCCGTATTCTCCGTTACCTTTTGCTCTTAATCTGTCACTGACACTCGACACCCGTAAAACAGATAAACAACCATAAATTCAATTTCGTCGTACAATAATTTGACAAGAGCTCGATCGAAGCGTTCGTTGATAGAATTCTTGTTTGTCAATGAAGGTATCGGAGGAGAATTATCATAAGAGGATGAGTCTTCGTTGGATTCACGAAAACTTAGAAGCACCGACATGCGACGAGGAATGCAGTGACATCGATGATAGTTGTAGCGACGACAGCTATGATTCCGATCTATCGATCGGCGAGGAGAAAGTAACAGGAAACGAGAAGGAGATCAATGGAGATCGCAGAAGGAAAAAGGAAACCAGACGGCATCCGACAGCCACAATGAAGTTCGACGAGAATGGGTATTTGCCAGTAATTAGAAACTACCGATAACAAACGGCAGGATCGAATCTTTTTGACGTCGTTTGAACTGTTAATCGAGATAGAGTTCGCAAGCTTTGATCGATTGATCGTGAGGAGATCCGGTGCGCTGTTACTGATTAATCTTCTTGATCAATTGATCGAACGAAGTTGCAAAACATGGCTCTCATGCATCATAGAATGTTCTGTAGAATGCAAAGGGGATTTGTATATAAAATTTAATCATTTATCACGGAATTTTTTAAGACTTTGTTGATCATTTTTAATCGTGTAATTTGATAATTATTTGTCGAATTATGATTACTGAAAAGGTATGAAATATTATAAGGTATTTTTATATGTTGTTATTGGTACTAGTTTTAGACTAGTAATTAATAATTAATCGACTGCTAATAATTAATAAATATTATTCAGTATTATATTGGCTGCTATAAGTTTTGATGATTGCTACAGAATTATTATATTCAGTTATTTCATTAATTATTGCAGATTGTCAACATTTTGACAATTTAGTATATTAATGATTATAATATTTCACAGTTAACAGCATATTAATGATTATGATACTTCATTATTCTTGAACAATTACTGAAAAAAAATATTGCAATTAATTATTCAATTTTATATTGTCTTTCCACAGTATTATATACCAAACCCCAATAAGTAAAATAAGTACTATCTAAAATGATTGATCAAATAATTAGTGAGCATCAAATTTAAAACTTTAACAAATTGATATGTTAATAACAGTGATATTTTATTTTTCATAACTCGTCAAAAATTATTAACACTTCTTAAAATCAGAAAAGTTTGTAGATACAAAAAATACTGCAACATATAAATTTTTAAATTTCATATACAAGACACATTTCTTATCAACAAAATTATTCACTTAATTCTAATGAAGTTTTGTTTGAATCACTATTTTAGTCAAACGAATTAAACAAACGTGTATTGCATATTTCTTTTATACAAAATTATTTATCAAAACTTCAAACAGATTATTTTTCAATATATTTCAAACTTCAGTTTCTGAACCTTTTTTTAAATATAATTGTTTCGGATCCCAAGTATAAACTGGTATCGCAATAACAAAATAATGGAAAACATTGTACAAAGAACATAAACTCAACAGAGTTAAAAAATGTAACGTAGTTGCATCACAGTTCTACATCCAAATGTACTTTTTCCTTGCCTAGAGCAAACACAACAAGGTCACGTATCAAGTTGGCAACCTAATAACAGGAGTATCGATCGATCAAATCCAAAGAGATCGTCTGATTGGCATTAACGCAATGATTTATGCAATGATGCATAAGTTTGCGACACTGATGAAAGGCTGATGCATAGTTTAAAGCGAATTTCCCTCGAACCGACTAACAATAAGCCCGTGTACGTAATTTCCCTCTAACGTGCTGTACAACGAGCGTTCATTAATCACTTGAATCGATTAACCCTCCACCTTGTACGCAGCAAAGTTAACAGTTTTAAATTTCCCATTATTTCCCGGTGTTCTTCTCTGTCTCCGCCATCTTTCGAACGCTTTTTATTCCATGGAATCGCGAGGCGAAATTAATTGATTATTCCGACGCGAAAGAGGTCAGTGAACAGCGAGGCAAAACGAACGATTGAAGCGAAGAGAGAAGACGATTATTATTGGTAAACAAAAGCAGCTGAGCAGTAGCTTTTACTAACCGTAACGAGTTCATCGATCAAACGAACCAAATTTATTTACCGCGCCATAATGTCGGTTTAAATATATCAATCTTACCGACGTTCCACTTTAAACACTCGCCGAAGCGAATTAACCGGATTGTTAATTAAACGACGCGTTTCTAACCGCGAACTCGATATAGTTGAGATACTTTCACGAAAACTCGTTGCAAAATATTAACACTTTGCTGCGTCGATTCGGGGGAAGAGTTGATATTTAATAATGTTACATCCTCGTCCTCGATTTCACTGAACGTGACTTTCGGTCAAAATATTTTCTGTTGTTGGATCATAGATAAGAAAGAGAAAACTCTGCAGTTGCTTGCTTCGAGTACGTACTCTTCTTGGCGGGTTTAAATGTTGGTGAATTAAGAACAAAAGTGAGTTTGTGAAAGGTGCGGCACGATTTCTTTGTCATTTATAATAATTTATCGAGGAAAAGTTTATGATGAAAAGTTAGTAAACTAGTCTTTTGAGTAGGCAGACATTTTTTATGGCATTCAAATTTCACCTTACACGCTATCGATACTAGAGCCTAACGTAAGCGCTCGAACAGCCCTTAATCGCTCGCCACACAATTTATTACCACGATAGTAAATTACTATGTATATATCATTATCAACGTATTTAATAATATTTTTGCATGACCTAAATCAATTTTCCACATAAGGTGAAGTGGGGTAAGTTCTTAAACGGAGCAAGTGCGTATACAGGCTATTTTTATTACAATATGAGCGAAATTTCTCCATTTAGTATGTTTGTTTCCCCGTTTTGTTTCACTATATCCCCCTTTATATTTCAGCTAAGAGTACTTGTTTGCAGTATAGAGTACTTGCACAATGCAGTAAAAAGCATTTTATAGCAGATTTGTTAATAATTCTGCTCTTGCCCCATTGCACATGAAATAAAGTTTCAAAGTATTTAACTTCAAGTTACGCTCTTACCCCATTTTTGGGGAAAGTGCAGAGTAGTTGACATTTTAAACAATTTCCTATCAAAATCAAAATGTACAAGGAAAATTAAGGTCCTAGTTAATATTAATTAAATAGTAGTAATTGTGCAAAGCGTTCGATATCGACAGCGTTAAGTATTTACATAGCAGACTGAAAATACTTACGTTTAAATACCAACCTTACAAAAATCAGTCTGCACTTACCTTACTTCACCTTATGACGTTATGGCCATTACAGTAAAATTTTTAGCCAGTAGCCAGGGACTGTACTTGTATCACATCTGTAATTCAGATACACCTTGATCAGAATGCTCTTGACGAACGCGTAGCTGCCCTCCGATATGCGATGTGCATTCATTGATCACTTGACTCGATTAACTTTCTGCTCTATATTGGTGCAGGGTCAGTAGGCGTGTGTAGTAGTAGGTATGGCGCGTGTTATATTATTACCGGCATTCGAGCACCGTGGAAACCGACCAGACCTGCAATTCCGCGAGAATTGCATTAAAGTGCACGCGCGACACGTAACGCAAAATTAGGATCGACGTTCACGATCGTGCGCTCGAGTTTCAACAAATAGATCACGAGCACGTTCCACGTGTAATTAACGGAGGCGTCTTTACGCAACGTTAAGACCAGCAATTTTGCCGATGATGAATTTTAAACAAGAGAAATAACTTTTGCTATCAGAGTCAGGGTCGATGTAGCAAGTTTTTTTTGGAATGATAAAATGACGGAATGACGGATTTTTAGATTTTGGCACTTTTCGATTTCGGAATTTTTGGATACTTGTGATTATGGAATTTTGGGAATTTTGGGATATTTCAGTTGTTGAGTTCTGGAGTTTCGGTGTTTTGGAATTTTTGGATTTTTGATTATTGGAATTTTGAAATTTTGGATTAGAATATTAGAATACTGGAGTTTTAGAATTTGGGTATTTTGGAATTTTGGAATTTTGAAATTGGAGAATTTGAAAATTTGAGAATTTAACAAATTGGAAATTTGGAAATTTGGCAATTTGGAAATTTGGGAATTTGGAATTTGGGAAACTTGGAATTTAGGAAATTTGGAATTTGAGAAACTTGGAATTTAGGGAATTTGGAATTTGGGAAACTTGGAATTTAGGAAATTTGGAATTTGAGAAACTTGGAATTTAGGGAATTTGGAATTTGGGAAACTTGGAATTTAGGAAATTTGGAATTTGAGAAACTTGGAATTTAGGGAATTTGGAATTTGGGAAACTTGGAATTTAGGAAATTTGGAATTTGAGAAACTTGGAATTTAGGGAATTTGGAATTTGGGAAACTTGGAATTTAGGAAATTTGGAATTTGAGAAACTTGGAATTTAGGGAATTTGGAATTTGGGAAACTTGGAATTTAGGGAATTTGGAATTTGGGAAACTTGGAATTTAGGGAATTTGGAATTTGGGAAACTTGGAATTTAGGAAATTTGGAATTTGGGAAACTTGAAATTTAGGGAATTTGGAATTTGGGAAATTTGGAATTTGAGAAATTTGGAATTTGGGAAATTTAGAACTTGTCAAATTGGAACCTGGGAAATTCGAATTTGGAAAATTTGAAATTTGGGAAATTTGGAATTTGACATTTGGGAAATTTGGGAATTTAAGGATTTGCTCATTGGAATTGGGTAATTTTTGGATTTAGAGATTTAGAGATTTAAAAATTTAGAAATTTGGGGATTTGACAATTGGAATTTTCAAATTCTTGGACTTACAAATTTGAAAATTCAGAAAATCTAGCTATAAGTATTCGAATAGTTGAAAATTAGAAATTTTGAAATTTTGAAATTCTGAAACTTTAAAAATCTAAAACTTGCAAAAATTGAAAATTTGAAACTTCCTAAACTTAAAAATTCATTATTCCAAAAATCTGTAAATTTTCAAACTTTCTAATAGAAACTAGTAAAATGCTTTCGAAACTCGCAACACAATACAGCTTAGACTTATGAAATCTAAACACAATAAGTGTAAGAACGTTAATTCTCGACACGCTTCACACAACTTACCCAGCCCTGATCAAAGTAACCTTCTCTCTAAATTACTCTTGATGTATAACTATTTCACGATGTTAATTATTATACAATTGCTCTCAAATATAGAGTCTGTTTGAAGATTTATTGCGTTGCATTCCATCGGAAATGTTACGCAATTATAGATTCTATTTCGACGAGATTTACTGTGTATTTTATTATAGCTACTGAGCTTGAGAACTGATGTTGCTGTTATTCGTACTATTTGCAATTCTATTACACAGTAATGAAGTTTTAGTAGTTGTACGTATTGGTTATGTTACATTTACCAGAACACTGTTTATACGTTTTCTTAAACACGCATAAGAATATTGCAATAGTAACATTTCAATATATGCTTGCATTAAAAGCATTTTTTATTTGTATTACATTCTCTGTTTACTGTTATTAATTTAACACATTTTTCAAAATTTGTTACACCACTTCTCAAACATTCTGTACAAACATTGCAACGTTGTCTCAGCTATAGTTGCACAAAGACTGTAAACAAAGTACTTTAATCACATAATCTTTGTTCAAAAAATTGTTAAAAGTCCTTTAGTCACATAATCTTTGCTTAAAAAATTGTTAAAAGTCCTTCAGTCACATAATCTTTGCTTAAAAAATTGTTAAAAGTCCTGTAGTCACATAATCTTTGTTTAGGTACTTTAATCACATAATCTTTGTTCAAAAAATTGTTAAAAGTCCTTTAGTCACATAATCTTTGTTTAGAATATTGTTAAAAATCCTTCAGTCACATAATCTTTGCTTAAAAAATTGTTAAAAGTCCTTCAGTCACATTATCTTTGCTTAAAAAATTGTTAAAAGTCCTTTAGTCACATAATCTTTGTTTAGAATATTGTTAAAAATCCTTCAGTCACATAATCTTTGTTTAAAAAATTGTTAAAAGTCCTTCAGTCACATAATCTTGTACAATGGATCAAACATCGTGTCTCAAAATTATTAATACTTTTGCTAAATCTAAGAATAATCCATGGAATAGCTACGTAAAGACTAAAATAAATCTTTACAAAAGAAAAAGCACATAATAATTTACCACCTCTCACTAATATTGAGGTAACATATATACAGTAAATTATTTCAACTCGAACACCTTGAAATACAGAAAATATTAATGTGTTCCTGTCCCGCTATCAGTACCATTAGCTTGATTGTTATCAGTTGATGTTACGCTTCTCGGATGAAATGTGTATCGACATTACGTTTCTTCCCCTCGAGCGTACGTTTAAAATTAATGGGGTTGGAAAACGTGTACGATGCAATGAAGCAAGCTTCATTCACGAAGCCAGCTGACCTGAAAAGTCGATCGGCCTATTTTTCCAAACGTAATGATATGTTATAAATAGTACAACCCCTATGTGTCACCTCGTGTTAGGTTTAACAATATGCTGCACCCTTCCTTCGTCCTATTTCTTTCAGTGATCACAACCTCCTTGTGAAACATTGTATATTGCACTCATGCAATTAGGATTTTTATATAATTATACAGAATTAACCGAGATTTAAGTATCTGAATTTTTTAATTTATGGATTTGGAAGCTGGAGATTTGGAAATTTGCGGAGATGAGAATTTGAAGATTTCAATGTTGCAAAATTGGGGAAGTTGGAAATTTGAGAATTTCGGAATTTGTTTAAAAAACCGGAAGTTTGAGAATTGGGGATTTGGAAGTTGGGAAATTAGAAATTGGGAACTGCAGATTTGGAGGTTTTGGAAATTGAGAAATTGAACATTTGGCGATTTTGATATTAATGAATTTAGAGATTTAGGTATTTCTAGTTTTGAGAATTTGGGGATTTGAGAGTTTGGAAATTTAGAAATTTGAAAATCTAAAAATTTGGGAATTTGGGGATTCGAGAATTTGGGGATTTGAGAATTTGGGGATTTGAAAATTTGAAAATTGGAAAATTTGGGGATTCGAGAATTTGGAGATTTTAGAATTTGGGGATTCGAGAATTTGGGGATTCGAGAATTTGGGGATTTGGGAATTTGGGGATTTGAAAATTGGAAAATTTGGGGATTCGAGAATTTGGAGATTTTAGAATTTGGGGATTCGAGAATTTGGGGATTCGAGAATTTGGGGATTTGGGAATTTGGGGATTTGAAAATTGGAAAATTTGGGGATTCGAGAATTTGGGGATTCGAGAATTTGGGGATTCGAGAATTTGGGGATTTGAAAATTGGAAAATTTGAGGATTTGAGAATTTGGGAATTTGGGAATTTAAAAATTTGAGAACTTGGAAATTTGGAAATTTAATATCCAGAGATTTTGAGAATTAGAAATTTAGTGCAGAAGAAATTGGAAATTTGTAAGTTAAAAAATTTCAAACTTGAAAATTAAAAAATGTTGAATTTAAAGAACATAAAAAGAGAAATTAATAACCTTGAAATACTGGAATTTGATAATTTTGTATTTTCGAAATCTAAGAAGAAAGAAATCAGATCAAATCATTGCAAATGAAACTTAATTATTAAATTATCCCCATATCTCATTTATTACATAACATGCAATTAGAATAATAAACTGAAGTATAATAAAAAATGTAATGTACTAAAAGGGAAAGCTAGTTCGAATATATTTCCAAAGTATAAAAGTGTAATCGCGTTTCTCGATGCTGAAAGGATTAAGAGAAAGCTAGAAACTTGGAACACATTTCCGTGAAACGTTCTTAAACGCTTGTCCGTTTGAAATTTATGTCAAAGTTGGATATATATTTACAGACTTCGAATTCGTATTACCAAAGAGCTGAAGTACGTGTTTGCACAGTCTAAACATTGAATTCTTTCTTTACAGAACATCGCGTTACATCACCAACGAATCGGTTAAACTACCACCTTGCGTAATATGGGACCCCAGAAAGCCGGCCCAGAATCCAGTGTACAATTGTCTGGTGATTAAATTGTTTTGCCGAACTGGTTATCACCTTGGTGTTTCGGAATCTGGTCGTGTTAGGGGCTTAAGTGCTACAAATGAACCTCACAGTAATTATTTTTAATAAAAGTAATCGGATTATTTCACGCCAATCTCGTTTTGATTTCATCTGGTTTCCAATAAAATACAAGTAAAGCCTGAAAAATGTTTAAGTTACTGCAAAAAAATGAAGGTTCCGACATCTGATAGTGTTTGAGATAAATATTCATACACTTAAAATTTAGAATTTTATATTTTAAACAAATTCAAAATTAACAAACTGGCGACTTACACTGCTAAGTTCATCATTTTATATTTGGAATATTCCAGTATTGAATTCAAAGAATAGTCGATTTGGCATGAAATGTCACAAATTCTGGATCATGAAAAATTAATGAAGTTTTCATATAGGTTCATATATCTTCTAATCGATTTTCTAGGTTTACTTCATATCATACCGGTTTCTTTCGGCGTGATCAGAATACAAAGTATCAAGACTAGTCTGTATTTAGCTTTCAACAAAAAAGGACGCTTGTATGGGGAAGTAAGACCACATACTTTTATTATTAAAAATTGTTGAAGTTATTAATAATTTAATAACTTTCAAATCATTCATCTTCACAAGTTTAATGAGTATTGTGAAATTATTAAATCATATCTAATATTCCTAATTACTCACGTGTTAAAATTTTCAATTGAGAATGCGATTTTTATAAACTGTTCTAATTTATAGAACAAGTGTTTATAATTAAACAAAAAATTGAAAATTTTTTAAATTTCTTAAGAATTTCTAAAGAAAGTTTGTAAAATTAAAATTCTTTAAAGTATCTTTTGAAATAAAAAATTTTTAAAGGTCAAAAATGAATCAACATTTGTACTGAATAAATTTCTATAAAATAATCGTTGTTTAAAAGAAATTACCAATGTCGCTTGATGATGAATAAAAATAAGTTTCAAAGTAAAATATAAAGGATCTAAAATTTCTTACATTAAACGGTTTCTAAATATATTTTCTTAATTTTCAGCCAAATGCAAATAAGGAGACCACAGAATGGGAACAATGGAACGTAGGTTCCTACGATGCTTTTCGCTCGAAAAAGTACGCAAACTATGGATGGTGGATAGGAATAAAGAAAAATGGACGTACAAAACCGGGACCAAGAACACGTTGGGGACAGAAAGCGATACAATTTTTAGCAATACGACAAGAATAATTGCTGTGAATTATATTTTATATCTACACGCTTCCATCAAATTAATCATTCGATCAAATCAACAGATTACAAAATTTTTTTAAACAATTGATACAACAGATTGAAAATTTTATAAAAATAAAAACAAAACATTGAAGATTTTGTAAGAAAATGTAATGCATTTGATAACAATGAAAATCAAATTTCAAATAAATACAGTAGGAGAGAATCAAAATGAATTACTTTTCTACGAGAAATAAATAACCTTTTTCCTTCCAATAGAATATAATGTTTATTATAACACTGTGTTACTCAACAATGGAATAATTTGAGATTGTGCATTCTGCTTGTGCCCATCAACTGAAACTTTCTCGCAAGTTGCAGTTTTATATTGCAGTACATATTTCTTTCTTTTTTCTCTCTCTTCTTTCTTATTTTTTTAATCATATTAATCGTTAATCGATTATGCTGCAGGCAGAGTGTCGATCGAGTTTTTAAATCAGTCGTTACGAGAAATGCTTGAAAAATCACACTGTGCTCGCAGCATTCGTATGAACGCCAATTTTATATCGTATATTATAATGCGATTTTTATAAACTGTTCTAATTTATAGAACAAGTGTTTATAATTAAACAAAAAATTGAAAATTTTTTAAATTTCTTAAGAATTTCTAAAGAAAGTTTGTAAAATTAAAATTCTTTAAAGTATCTTTTGAAATAAAAAATTTTTAAAGGTCAAAAATGAATCAACATTTGTACTGAATAAATTTCTATAAAATAATCGTTGTTTAAAAGAAATTACCAATGTCGCTTGATGATGAATAAAAATAAGTTTCAAAGTAAAATATAAAGGATCTAAAATTTCTTACATTAAACGGTTTCTAAATATATTTTCTTAATTTTCAGCCAAATGCAAATAAGGAGACCACAGAATGGGAACAATGGAACGTAGGTTCCTACGATGCTTTTCGCTCGAAAAAGTACGCAAACTATGGATGGTGGATAGGAATAAAGAAAAATGGACGTACAAAACCGGGACCAAGAACACGTTGGGGACAGAAAGCGATACAATTTTTAGCAATACGACAAGAATAATTGCTGTGAATTATATTTTATATCTACACGCTTCCATCAAATTAATCATTCGATCAAATCAACAGATTACAAAATTTTTTTAAACAATTGATACAACAGATTGAAAATTTTATAAAAATAAAAACAAAACATTGAAGATTTTGTAAGAAAATGTAATGCATTTGATAACAATGAAAATCAAATTTCAAATAAATACAGTAGGAGAGAATCAAAATGAATTACTTTTCTACGAGAAATAAATAACCTTTTTCCTTCCAATAGAATATAATGTTTATTATAACACTGTGTTACTCAACAATGGAATAATTTGAGATTGTGCATTCTGCTTGTGCCCATCAACTGAAACTTTCTCGCAAGTTGCAGTTTTATATTGCAGTACATATTTCTTTCTTTTTTCTCTCTCTTCTTTCTTATTTTTTTAATCATATTAATCGTTAATCGATTATGCTGCAGGCAGAGTGTCGATCGAGTTTTTAAATCAGTCGTTACGAGAAATGCTTGAAAAATCACACTGTGCTCGCAGCATTCGTATGAACGCCAATTTTATATCGTATATTATAATCATATATTTATATTTGTAGATAATTGTATATATATATATATATATATAACTATTTCTTATCTCTTTTGTACACCTACATACATTGCATATATCGAAACCCTTAAGCGAAAGCTTCAATTAAAAAACGCTGGTGTTTGATTAAATACGGTAGGTAACTACAAACATTTATTACCCTCGCTTCTTATTCGTAAATATCAAATACAACGCCAACGGTTAACGTAAAAAATATAATTTTTTGTAAGAAAAAAAATAGGACGTACCAACAAATAATGCTAGAAAAAAATAATAGTCAATTACAATATTCAATCACACGTATTAACAAGTAATATTTTTATTTTTTTTTATAAACGAAATGTCATGGTTACGTGAAATGCTTTTACACAAATGCAAAATGGAATTCTTTGGTGATAATCAATAAGTAATAATTATTAAGCGCGTTATTCTGCAAGCAAAAAGCGTATGCAGTGATTGAAGAAAACGATGAAAATCGCGATGCAGAAATTCGAATGATAAATTCAAACGAACGTTTGAAAAAAATTTTCATTGATAAACTTCGTTCCCATGAAAAGTATGTATGCATCGATAGAACATGTGAATATGAAATAAACGCGATATATCGAACGATATCTTGGAAATTCTTGTATTAACAATAATTTTATATTTCTCGACTTAAATAAGGCAGTTACGATTGCAAATATGCATACATACTTTTCATGGAAGATTAAAGATCACATTAGTTTAAGATCCCTGTTTCTCGAACATTTTTTTTTTATCTACTTCAACAATACGAATTCACTTTTTTTTGGTATTGGGGCTCGCAGATTGAAAAACACTGGATGCTGACATCAGGTTTTCAATGTATTGGCTCAACACTTGATTTTCGCTTCTCAGTTTTAGATTCTCCTCCTTTACGCTGTCCACTCTCTGTGATAGATCTGCAGGAAAAAATGTATAGCTATAGATATTTTATATAACTAAATATTAACAAGACTAAGGTTACCTACCATCCAATGTATTTTGAAGTTCAAGCACTTGAGCAATTAATCTTGCTTTCTCTTCTTGTTCATCAGGACTGATGTCAGGATCTAAACCTGCAATTAAATTATGTTAAATATTTAACAATAATTGTATTACTATATAAACTAATAGTTTAGAACTTACTGTTAGGGCTACAGCTGCCATTTGTGAATGTAGAAGGAATGGAATCCATGCTCCGTCCTCTGCCTAACGCATCAGATATGTGACAACTATTATCCAAAACTTCTTCTTCAGGAATAATCACTATGCATAAAAACATTTAATTAAATTAACTTGTGTCATGCTCGATAAATGAAAAAAGAATAGACTATAAACATATGAAGGAAACAAGACAATTTATTTAATATCTTTGCTGCCACATAATTCATGTATATTTCAATTGTTTATATTAAATGAGTCCTGTTAGTTACTTAATTAAAAATACTTGTATCAACTATTTGAAATGATAATAAGGTATTATGGAAATAAAAAATAAAATTTGTTAAAAATGAAAATATCATCTATAAGATGTATAATGATTTTAGCATAGTAACATGATTACTAAATAAAACATTGTAATAATTTTCATATTATTAAACAATTTGTACAAAAATATTATTATACCAATTACATTAATTATTTAAATGTTATTAAACATATTTTTCATACAGAAAATTTATACTAATTTAAAGTTCCACAAGTGTATAAGATCCATTATACACTATTATGAGAGAGATTATTTTTCACACTTATAACAAAAAGTCGTATTTTGAACAAAAAATTATCGTAATTAAATCTAAATCAACACTATCCAAATATTTCAAATTTATCAAGGTTTTATTAGCTTCTTCGTAACTTTTAAATATTTTGACGCGAGACAGAAGAGCAGGTTATAACGAAGTAAGGTGCGCTAATGAAATCAAGAGAACTGGGTCAGAAACATAATCTATAAATTTGCTTACCTTGAGGATCATCATCTGCCAATGGTATACTGTTCATGTCATCTTGAAGTTTCGCTGTCACCGACGTAGACATCTTTTGACGTCGGAGATCCTCGACGGGAGAAATAATACACACTACAGACAAACCTGCGCGCAAGGTTCGACGTTTGACCCGAACTTATCGATCTCTAGGAGAAACCCGCACGAAACTGTTCTCGCATTCACCGGGAGGACATAAAATATGTACGACAGTTACTTGATAACAAATAGGCAGTTCAAAATCACAACTTATACGGAAAAAACTCTTAAAATTTTTTATTTATCCATTCGAATGATTCACAACCCGTTTTGCCTTCCACCTGCTATTTGATTCATTGACGACACTGACAATAGAGTTGCCACTATCGATAATGTCATCGATAAATATCGATACTATCGAAATGTTATCGATAGTTCGGACAAATCAGGAATATAAAATGTTTATTCTTATATGCGTAGTTTTATCACTCAATTCGAATTATTTTTGTTTGAAATTAAATTAGTTTACATTTAATTAAACAAAAATAAATATATTAAAATGAAGGAACTTAAATTACCCTAACCTTATCTGATTTAAGTGAACTTTACCTAACCTTAATCTTAATCCTAACCTAAACCTAATCCTAATCTTTATTCTAATTTGATCCAAACTCTGATGTGGTACAACTCTATTCTAATCTTAATCGTTATTATAACCGACTCTTCATATTAATTCTAATCTAATTCAATCTAATTTGACAGGTACAGTGAATTCTGAAAATTGTTGCATAATTGAGCTTTGAATAAATTTATTGCATTTGAATTTTGTAAAATAGGTTCTTTAAATACTGTTTATAAACTTTGCTCTTATTGTCACATGCAGAATATGAAAATGAGATTTAAAATACTTAAATCTGTTATTGAAATATCCAATATTTATTTTATTATACTTAAGAAATGTATAATATAAAATATATATTTCAAGTTAAATCTAACAGTTAATTAAGAATCATTTAAGAGCATCCAATTGTGATTGTATCTTTTCTAAATTTTCATACAGATTTATCAGCTGCTTTTTATCAAATTCAACTGTTAATTTAGATTGATCCTCTCCTGTCAAGTTTAATTGCATCAATGCCATTGGACGTACATCTTTCTTGATAGTAGAGGATGCAGCTTGAATATTTAAACACCAATCAATGTCTTTTACCTAAAATAAAAGAAATTAATATTAAACAACATACTGATATTTTATAATTTTGTAAATATATGTTTGTCATTGTAATGTACCTGTGTAGGAAATATAGAAATCTGCCTAAAATTATCAATGATGCGTTTACCATATGTAACCCAGGCATTTAAAAATATTTGAATTTTATCATCGTCTATTTTAAAAGTATCTTTTAAAGTATTTTCCAAAGATTGCACTTTTATTATATTACATGCAGCTTGTTTATAAAACAAAATTAATGCATCTAAGAGACAAACTAAGTCATCTTTATTCAAATCCAAAGAAACCAATAACTTTTCTTCCTCTTCTTCGCTAAATATTTTGGAATTAACATCAGATTGCAGAGTCTGACAAATACGATTGATGAGCAATCGAAATTTGCTGCTGTCTATTTGATTTGCTATCTTCAGACCTTGCTCAAGTCTGAAATAATCAATTAACTGAATTATAATATTTTAACAGAGCAATATAAAACTTTGAGCAATTATTGTATAAAAAGACTGTAAAGTCTTCGATTAGTAGTGTATAAAAAATTTAAATACTACCGCGGTGTTACTGTGATCCAAGTAGTCATATTATTTGGTATGATTATAGGTCATTCATCACAAAATTTATTAAAAACATTAGTCAACATTTAACGTTTAGTGTTTACATCATAAAATGTGCATTTTTACGAGTGTGCACTCGAGAATAAATCTGGCTAGCCTGGGCAACATGACAACCAAGAGAAAATAGTCCCTATCATTCGCAATAACAATAACATTCATTGATTGGCACACAATATTCCTAGTGAGGTCTTGTTCTCATTGGCTGTCATTTTCCCCAGAGAAACCGAATTTGCACTTGTGTGGACCCATTCGGTACTAATTTACTAGATAATAAATTACTAGTTAGTGACTGGTCACTGAATCCAAACAATACCTGTTGTACTATAAACGCTGTAAACATCAATAATGTCAAGTTACAACTTTGTATAATTGAAATTTATTAAATAGTAAAAATAGCAAATTATTCCAAGCATATGATGTACGAATTTTTATTCTAATTTAAATGTTTAATAAATCGTGTATATATCAATAAATTTTTATCAATCGAAACTTAGGTTATATTATAAAAAATGACTGAGAAGCAAAAAGTTTTAATTTGTGGGGATGTAGAAGGTCATTTTAAATTTTTATTCAATAAAATTGAAGCTATCAATAAAAAAAGTGGCCCGTTTGACTTCTTGTTATGTGTTGGAAATTTTTTTGGCAAAGATAACGACGAACTTGAAGCATATAAAAATGGCATGAAAAATATTCCAGTTCCAACATATATTATTGGCCCTAATAGAGAATCTGATGTAGATAATTATCCAGATGTTGATGGATGCGAAATGTGTCAAAATCTTACCTATCTGGGAAAACGTGGACTATATACTGCTAGTTCAGGACTTAAAATAGCTTATATTAGTGGTACAGAAAGCAATTCTTCAGAAACAAAATCTACTGGTTTCAATGAAAGTGATGTTATATCAGTTAAACAAGCTTGTTTAAAAGGGCAACCTAGTTTTCGTGGAATTGATGTATTACTAAGTTCTCCTTGGCCCGAGGGTATCACAAACTTAGATCCCAATAAACCAAATATTAAATATCAAGGTTCTAAATTAATTGCTTGGTTAGCTGCTCAAGTAAAACCAAGGTATCATGTATCAGCCTTGGAGGGATATCATTATGAGCGACCACCATATAGGTATACAAAAGTGTCCCAAATACTAGAAAATCTTATAAGTAAATTTTATATAAGTTTGTTGTTTTATCTTTCAGAAATCAAAGTCAACAAGATGGTAATATTGAAATTGCAACTAGATTTATAGCACTTGCACCTGTAATGAACTCTCAGAAGAAGAAATGGTTATATGCATTAAACTTAACACCTGTTGATAGGACACGCTTGTCTGATTTAGTTATGAAAACTACAGATGAGACGGATAGCCCTTATCCAAAATCACTGTTATCAAATGAACCATCTTCAAAGAAGTCAGAGCCTAAACGTACACAGTTCTTTTATGACATGGAATCTAAGGAACCTACCAAAAGGTCCAAGCATTCAGAAGGATTTCACAAAAGACCAAAACCTGAATTTGATCCAGCAAAATGTTGGTTCTGTTTATCGAGCCCTGAAGTTTCTAAACATTTAGTGATATCAGTTGGAACAGAGATCTATGTTGCACTTGCTCGGGGTGGACTGGTTGAAAACCACTTTTTAATTCTACCAGTAACACATCATCAAAGCCTATCTATCTTGCCAAAAGAGGTGAAAGAAGAAATGGCTCTATATAAAGATGCTATAACAAAATATTATGCTACTATGGACTGTGTACCTGTATTTTTTGAACGTAATTATAAAACATCTCACTGTCAATTGCAAGCTGTACCTGTTCACAAAAATCAAGCACCTGCCCTAAAAGAAACATTTGAAGTAAGTTTTTCAATTATGATTAGGCTATTACATATTAAACAATTACTTTAATTACAATTTTGTTTTAGGAAATGGCAGAGTGTAATAATTTTGATATGAGTGAATTACCTCCCCATGCAGACTTGCAGCAAATTGCAAAACCAGGTGTTCTGTATTTTTATGTAGAATTACCAGATGGAACAAAGTTATACCATAGAATTAAAAAAGATTTTCCACTTCAATTTGGAAGAGAAGTCTTGGCATCTGATAGGATATTAGATATCAATGATAAAATTGACTGGAAAGATTGTCAACTAGATAAAGAAGAGGAAACTGAATTAGCCTCAAAAATTAGAAGAAACTTTCAACCATTTGATGTAGATACTTAAAAATGTAAAAGAAATTAACATATCAATATTGTAAAATATGTATATACATTTATACATCAATTTTTTTTGTAAAATACACGATCATAGTAACTTATTACAGCTTATAAAAATATAGAATAAGGATTGTACTCTAGTTCACTAATCCATTTTTTTGGTATTTTAATTCGTAATCATCTGGAGTTGCAAGTGGATCTAATCCACTTTGTTTCATTTGTAATGCTATATCAAATAAATAATCAAAACATTCCGTCCTGAAAAAAAAATATGTTGAATGTATCAGTGGTATATATTATATTATACAAAATATCACATAATTTTAATTTACATACATAGTTTTAGCTTGCTGCCATGAATCACCCCAAACATAAACACCATGTCTCCTTACCAAGACAGCACAAGTTTCTGGATAAGCAACAATAGTTTTATCTAGTTCATCTCTTAAGTCTTCTTCAAATGGAGTATTTTCTATTATTGGCACTACAAGTTCTTCATCATATCGATAAGCCCTCCTCAATTTCTGATTTCTAATGCCTGTATAATGTTTCAATAAATAATTGCAGCAATAATTATGTATTCTATATCAATAACTGTTCTAGTTCGTACCCTTTATCATTTCAAGATGAGTAACACGAAACTCTTTCCCAGGCCAATGTAACGTAACCATCACAGCAAATTTAGAATGAGTATGAATTACAGCACCAGCATTTCTTCTTATATATGCACACATAAATAATGGAGTACATTGTGATTTCTTTAATTTCTTTTCTGCTGGAGGTAGTTCTAAATCTTTTCCATCAATAGTCTGTACAAACATTTCATTTGGTAGGATTCGTTCTTTTTGGACACCCGATGGGGCAATATAAATTCTGTCTCTATACATACAATAGAATAATAATATAATAATATAAAGAATTTCATACAATCCAAAAAGTTTTACTTACTCATGTTTAATAGATATACCGCCACCTGTTCCAGTAACCCAACCTAGATTATAAAATTGTCTACATAATTCAGGAATTAAATTTCGTGGATGTTCCTACAAAATAAAGTAAGTATATCTATGTGTAATTTAATACAAATAATTTCATGTATTACAACAAATGTAAACTATACAAAAATATTTTACTAAAGTATCTTTATCTTTATAGAAAGGTAAAATTGGAGTAATCACATTCAACATAATACCTTTTCATAATTGTCATCATATGAAGACATTATTAATATATTATATTAAATTGTATGAAGATTTATGAAATGATCCTAAAATTTGTTCACATTCAATTTAATAATCATGCAAAGAGCAGTGCACGCGCACATGTATCACTGATATGCATGTAATAAATTTTCGATACATCGTCATTTATCGCAATCAGAAGAATAAATATTTGTTCCTTTTTCAATTCTTGTAAATGTTTAGGTGAAGAAGATGATATTCCTACATCTTACATAGATAATATTAAAGATAGTACACATGCTTCTTCTAGAGAAAATAGCGCTCAAAGGGGAACTTCCAGTACTATCATATCGATTGACATGGAACTATGGAACACGAAGTTCTGTAAGATGTCGAGTCTATTATGTACTACGTTTCTGATTGTGGTATTATCATTATATATCAGTAGGCATCGTGTACTAGACTCTTTGTTTATGGTATAAGCTGATTTCTTTTCGTACTGTACGTAAGAGGAGTGATCGTAAAGTATTTTATTTGGTTAACCAAATTAAAAATTTAGAAACATGCCGACCTATGAAATGCCATTATTATTACGACTTGGAAAAAAGGTATTTATATGTTTTTCAAAATGTTATGTTTCACACGTTTTGTGTGAACCATACCTAACTTATTCTTTAATAAGAATATGGATGTTTCATTAATAATAATAAAGTAATATACATTAAGTTGTTTAAATGATCATTAAATTATGTTTGTAGGCTGAATATGCAAATATTTTAAAAACTGTAGCAGAAACAATATTCAGTGTAGGAGGATTTATTAGGACAATAGAAAATTGGGGTGAAAAGGAGCTTCCATGTAAGGCATCGAGTCATGGTCAAGTTCATAGAAAAGCTGGGTAAGCTTCTATTATTAATCTATTTTAAGTTTATTAATAAAGTGATATTATTATTATTATTATAACATTTATCATTTGTAATGTTTTAGTCATTTTTTCATGTCCTTCGATGTCCCACCAGCATCAACATTTAAAATTCTTGACGAATGCCAACGGAACTTGAGTATTGTTAGGGTAAAAATATATTTACGTAATGAACCGCCTGAAAATGTAGAGTGTACATTTGGGGACGAGATGTTGCCTCCACCTTACAGGTAATTGTGCATGTTCTCTTATGCAAAATTACTTAGCTATATCTTCATTTAAGTTTTATATTTCCTTTTGTTTTACAGACCTAGTGTTAAAAAAATGCTTGAGCAAAGTGAAAAAGAAAAGAATAAGAAGAAAAAACAATTTGAGTATAATTCTGGACTTGATTATTACCCTTTCCTTAGGTAAATATTAACCTTTCCATAAGTAAATCATTAATTGTTATTTATTATATATAGCAATATGTATGTACAGTTTGTAATAATAAAATGCGTGCAAACATGTTCTTTGTTTATCTTACTATATAAATAGAGCATAAACAGAAGCATAAATAAAAATAATTAGTTACAGGAGAGAATGGTTTATTTATTTACTTGTTGGTTGTTTATTAACTCATATTATCAATACATTATGAAAAATTATCTTTATAATCATCAAAAAATATTTGTACAAAATACTTAATGTAATTATATATCATTTATCATTATACAATAATTATAATAATTATCGTCTCACGTGCAACATGAATTTTCTTTTAAAGTATAATTTGGTTACACTGTAACTCGTAACGGATTTCATAGTAACAGTAACAGAGTAGCAAGTCGAGTAACTCTGCTTTATAATCTATTTGTAATATTTAACAAATATGTAGCCACGTTACCAGATGCGATACCAGTGACACAACAATATACCTTTGTTTTTATATACTTGTAAATAAATTGTTCTCTTGTTAAAGTATGAATCAATATTTTCAACAATTTCACAATACATCAACGACGTGTGTATTGTTGTCTAAGGTGTACGTTTGAATTTCATTTGTCTGAGCACAAACTGCTCAATTATCCGAAAAAGGTATAAAAATTTGACAACGTACAGTACTATCTCTACCTTAAATGCAATATAAAGTCATCTTGGTTTATCCTCTAACATTTCGGAGGATGCGTTTTGTGCACCGTTTAGAATCAAGTTGGACCACAACGAGAAGAATTGTTGTACAACAAAATTTTCTCCATAAGTCTAGTTCATCGTTAAGATTAAAGTAAATACGAGCAATGAGTGAAACTGAATTATTTCTGATGAACAAGTTTACATATGTCTAGTGTTCCCGAAATTAATACCACTCTGATTAGCACCCTTATTGCTACCGTATTGTAAGCTAATCACACCCTGTCCAGCCCTCAACTGTTCCTCGGTGAAGTTGCGCACATTTTTGTCCGCTTCTTTTGGTCCGATACTTGGTTTACCATAATTGCCCGCCTGCAAAGTGAATTTTGAATATAGTACATCAAACAATCAAGTTTCAGAAATAATAATTCCTCCAATTTTATAGAAATGCAAATACCTTTCTACCGAGGGATTGTAAACAAGTTACAACCGAATTCAGATTTTGTCTCTCCCACAGATCAACAGTCTGGAAAGTTTCCTGTGCCGGTACACCTAACGCTCTCGCAGCTTCTAGAAAGGCGTTGATATTTTCCATGCATTTAAATGCTAGATTGATCTTGTTAATTTTCTTCACCGATCCATCCTTGATATCGTTCACCAGCCTGAAAGGAAAACGGCATCGATTAATCATCATGCGACAAATATCTCATTGGCTCGAATGTTCTTTCAAGAGGTGTCTAGCTACTTGCAAAGAAGGACTCCGTCCTTCAGCGTCTCATAGAAGTTGTCCATGTCCCCGTTGGTGTTTATATTTTCGCCGGTGATCGTTTTGATCCATTCCAAACATTCCTGTGCCAGTTCCTCGCTGTATTTACTGTTGATCTGTAACAGAAATCCATTTACGATCGGTCAGTCGGCTTTTTCCTTGAAACTTGATGACGTTGTTAAAATAACGTTACCTCGCGAAGTTATTAAACAACGCTAAAAAGAGCTACACACACATACAGAATGTCCTGAAATATGTGGTACCCACTTCAGAAATTGATTCAGCAGGTATCAATAAAAAACTGTATTTTTATTGTTTATTTAACATTTTTGCTATGTTATGTTGACTCATATTTAGCAAAATTATTTGTAATTTGTATGTAATTTAAATATGGTTAATATCAAAGTGGTAATATAAATTATGGCGTGTTCTATCTGCTTAACACTAGAACCACAAATCGGTCAAAATGACTGATTTCATTTTCACATTTTATATTACAAAATTTTGTTACCGTGGTTTTTTCAAGATCATATTTTGTTGAGATAGAATGGTATGTCAGGTGAGGTCTCAGTATTAATTTTTCCAATTTATTATCAATTTAAAATGCATTTAATTTCGGTAGTCCTACTGCTAAGAAATATAGTAAAACTTAGTGTAATAATATAATTTGATATGTCTTGTATAACAATTTTCGTATGTTTTAAAATATTATGTAATCACAGTGATGTCATATTATTAGACACATTGCATAATTACATCGTAACGTCCTACGAATCAGCTTAGTTCCTTCTGCGAATAGCAGTATTACGCATTAGTTTTCAGTATTATGTTCAGAGAGATAATGGACTATAATAAAGAGTTATTTTAATGAAATGACTCATATTTTTATCTATGGTCTTGCTGAATATAATCGACAGATGTTTACATAAAAAATGACTAAATTACTGAATCATTTCTTCGTAACTCACTAAACGAGTTATACACATTATAGAACACTGTAGATCTTTCCAAAATAAAATACAGATCTAGTATCGACGAATTTGTTCAATCTTAAAATTTCAAATCAAATGTTGAGTCTACTTGATCGAAGAATTGTAACTATTTTGTATATCAATTAATTCAATCCTTGAAAGATTAAGTTAGGATCATTAAAACGTGTCCAATTGCAAGACATTTTTGTGTAATGTACTTTATTAAATGTTTAACGAGATTCTCGTCAATCTTTTAAACACGAAGGGGCACCAGCCACCAGCGACTGGTTGTTATTAATTATACGATGTGCCAGTGATTCAAGTAACACATCCTGTAGGGTCTGTGACACGAGCATCGTCGGAGTCACTGACCCAACTTGTTTGAACACACTTCGTTCGTTGTTCCTTCGAGGTGCCTCAGAAATCTTCCCCGTGAACGCGGCCATGGTTTCGGAGAAAGTTTCTCAACAATTCGAAGAGACCACGAATCGCCTTTCCACCTACTGTATTATCGTTGAGAAAGTCTTCAATGATGTACTAGTTTCGCTTTGTTTCCGATTATAATGAACATACCATGAGAACGTTGATTTATTTATATTTGGAGGAATTATTTGCGTTGCTATGGTGGGAAATTTGTTGGTCGAGAATTTGGGAATTTGGAAATTTAGGGATTTGATGATTGGGTGTTTGGAAATCGAGGATTGGAAAATTTAGGAGTTTGGAAATTGGGGACTTGGAAATATAGGAATTTGAGAATTGGGGACTTGGAAATATAGGAATTTGAGAATTGGGGACTTGGAAATATAGAAATTTGAGAATTGGGGACTTGGAAATTAAGGATCTGAAAATTTAGAGGTTTGGAAATCAGGGATTTGGAAATTTAGGGATTGAGAATTAGGTGTTTGGAAACTTAGAAATTTGGAAATTTAGGGTTTTAAGAATATAGGAGCTTGGGAATCTGAAAATTGGGTAACTTAAAGATTTGGAAGTTAGGGATTTATAAATTTACAAATGAAAAGTTTGAAACTGGAAATTAGGGGATTTAAGAATTTAGAAATTTGAAAAGAAAATTAGTGAATTTAAGAATCTACAAATTTGAACTATTAGAAATTGTGAAATTTTAAACTTGAAAATTTCCTCCCTTACGTTCCTACCTACGTAAAGACTAATGCCACCCTACTCGAACAATTTTACTTCAAAGAACATTCATCTCAAACCTCATTGAATTTCACAAAACGCATCGCAAAAAACCGTTCACAGTAACAGTAATCGTAACAGTAATCCGATAACGTTTCTGCAATAAAAAATCCGTGCAAATCCAAGAAGAACGTGTAATGGACGCACAGTTATTCGCGTAAAGGCTACCTAAAAAGGAGAGGTTCGTAAGCGTGGACCGTCGCGTTCATCCCGGTGCAATATATGCATATTCCGTTAGCCATACGGTGTCTTGATCGTGATGTACTTCACGTGTCCCCTCGTAAAATGTGCAGCGTCTTGATCGTGTGCATGCAATTAGAATAATATACTAGCGATCTGGCAGCCGTCTGGTAACTCAGCGTTCAGGAATCTTGGATTCTTTTAGCACGGATCAAGATACACGTGGTACCAATTAACCTTTCTCGCGATAAATATTGCATCGTATCGAATCATCGATCTTTATACGGTTTAATCCTTTTTAGGTTCTTTTAAAGATGTTTATGGTTGGGCTGTTTTATGGATATTTATATTTAGGTTGGTTTAAGGATATTTAGGATGTTTGGGATATCAAGGATATTTAGGATATTAAGGATCTTAAGGATATTTAGGATATTTAGGATATTTAGGATATTAAGGATATTAAGGATATTAAAGGATATTTAGGATATTAAAGGATATTTAGGATATTTAGGATATTTAGGATATTTAGGATATTAAGGACATTAAGGACATTAAGGATATTTAGGATATCAAGGATATTTTAAGAATTTAAGTTGTTTCAAAGATGATTTTAATCAAATTGATTCCAGTATTTTTTATATTTAGGTTACCTTAAATATATTTATAAAATATTTAGGTTGTTTGAAGAATGTTCATAACTATTTGATTCAAATATTTTTTTTATTTAGGTTGATTTAAGCATATTTATATTTAGGTTGTTTCAAGGATGTTCATAACTATGTTGCTTCAAATATTTTTTTATTTCAGTTCCTTTAAACATATTTATATTTATCTTATTTCAGGGATGTTCGTAACTAAGTTGCTTAGAATATTTTTATATTAGCTTGTTTTAAGAATATTTATATTTATGTAATTGTATGTAGGTAGATATTTAGAAAGTTATATTTATATTTATTATACGTAAATAAGGAAGTGCAAGAACAATGGCGGACAGTAGGCAAAGAAGTTTCACGCTAAAGGTATTCACTTTCACCAAACGCGTGTTACGTCTGTTGAAATTACGCCTCCTTCGCTAAGCTACTATGTACATGTACAATTTCAATTTACTTCTACAATAAATAATACTATTCAGTTTCTACAACTTGAATTTTATATGTTGTGATTCATGATTTTCCTTACATTGAGAAATGTTCAGAAAATTTTCTTAAAAAATGAAGTTACTTCACTTTCATTTCTACATAAAACTACACTATGCATAAATAAAGCATCAGTTTACCATTTAACAAAAATAAATTTTTAAATAAGCATATCGATTGTCTCTAATTAAACATTTTTTAAATAGCACCATTTTGACAGCTTCCACAACATAATTGCATCGAACACTTCGAGTTAATATTGCCGCAAGTGTTTCATAGCGAAAGTTCATTTTTTATATCCACAACGATAACAACGTCTACTATCTTCGTGATATAAACTTCCAATGTGGAGCATGATGCGAATTCTATATTTAGGTATTAAGTAAGCGGCCGATAATTTCATTAACGACAAAAAGAATGACTCGCGTTAACGAGGTGTACGCTGTTCGCGAAAAATATACGCTGTTTTAGCCGGCCATGTGGAACGAAGCGTAGAAATTATAAGACTCCGACAACACTTACGAAAGTAGCCTTCAAATTACTTAATGTGACCTAACAGTGATACTGGTTTATTTTCTCAAGTTCGTAGACTCTCAAGATCATTTGCATAAACGTGTTACCGCATATTCGACTTTTATAACATATATTCTATATACTTTTAAGATGCATGTTCCACTGTCTTTTATGTAGTCGCAATCTCCTTTTCTTACTTTTTATTAATGCAATTTGTAAATAAGCAATATTGCTAATTATATGCTCAAATAAGCATTATAGCTAATTTTGGAATTATAATTATGCAGCATTATGGTGCAAAACTATGTTTTTTAATTAACGTTTATAGGGGTGATGTTTATAACTTCAGAAAAAAATTACTTAATTTTTTGGTGCATTTATATTTTACTTACTTTATTTCGAAAATGAAAATTTATGTGCAAAATATTTAGAATATGTCAAAATGAGGTAAAGTTATTTCAAATGAGTTACTTATACAACATAGCTAGTACATATGCTGTTTAATTAGAAATAATTTTGTAGGGAAAAATATTTAATGGCGGTCACTAAGCAATGATTGTAATAAAATTAAAATTGCAGTAAAATTAGACCTAACTATTTCTGTTCTAATGCCAGATAAAATATCAAATATAAATATAAAGTTACATTATTTCAGGAAAAATATGAAACGTCAAATATAACCTATTGAGTGAAACATAAGGTATGAACACAAAATTATATTATGTTAGACAAAATATCAGATATAAATATAAAATTACATTATACTAAGAAAATTAGTATAAGTAATATAAAATAACGTAAAAAAAAAACACAAAAAAATATAATAGTAATATAAATAAAATATAAATGTAAAATAATATTGTATTAGGTGTAATATAAAATTAGATAAAAAAATATTAGAGCAGTACAGAAGTAAGCAATTATGGTAACGTACAAACAAATGATAATTGTGCAGAGTTTGATGTATAGGAAAGCTTACGATGACGTGGAATTTTAAGAACGCTATAATAAAGGTTTTATGGTGGAGGTAAAGGTAAAACGAGAAGTTTAGGGAGGTAAGGGTGTGACGTCTACCTATATAAATTCCACAGCATACCAAACGATCTTGGATCCAGCTCT